TTCTTTATGGGCTTTTGGTACTAACATTACATTTGAATTAAATTGGGGGAAAGCTGGACACTCAGTAATATCACGAACGATTTCACACTGAAGCAAAACCTAGAATATGCAGAAAGTCAACCTCGTAATATGCCAAACTGAGTAATAATGAAAACTTAGACTCCGATATACAATTGCATTCATCTGCTACCTACCACATTTTTTATGTCAAGTTAAAGGCAATCTTTCCAATTAACCTAAGAAATCCTTTTCTTCAGCACTCATACCTTTATACCTTCTCCCACCAAAACATGTCTGTCTCTTTTAATGGAAATAACGGAAACTGCAATATAGCAATGAAAATAAAAGCACTGAAAAACCGTGTTTCCGTTCAGCAATAAAAATGTAATAATAACGACATCTCTAATGTGCAAAATACATAACAAATGTTCTAATATGCACAACGAATGATAGAAACCCTGTTAAAAAGTACAAGTGCCATAAAAATAGAAATTTTCCATGCAGTCCTATTACCACTACAAAGCTCGCCATACACATTTTCAGAATGGTTTGATTGGGCAAACTTGGTTTTGAACCTTTTTGAAACTGTTTCCCGGAGTGTAAAAAAGGCTATTACATGTAATTGTTTCATTTTCTTAGTTGATTTGGCCCTCTAAGTAACTTCAGCGTGTATTTGCTTCGATATAAATTCAAAGCTAGACGACAAAGACGTTGGGAAGGAGGGACCATTTACTGTTGGACAGCGATTTAAGAAGTTTCAAGAAGACCTTTCTTGTCATCGTGATGGAAATGCTCACTTCCTCCGGTTTCGGCAACGCCTGTCTGGTTACCTGTCTGGTTAGCGAACGCCTGCGGTCCTTGGGTTGTCTGCATCCCGGCTCTGGCGGGCCTGGTCAGTGGGGCTTGGCCCGGTACAGTGACAACCACCTGCTGGGGAGCAACGCCGGTCGACTGGGGGGCAACATTCACAGGCTGCAGTGCTTGAATTGAAGGACCTCCAACGGGTTGGGGAGCACAGGCATTTCCTTGGGGAATATTGGCAACTTGCTGGGTAGGGGCCACATTGTAATTTGTCGCATACTGCGGACCAGCCGAGGTTCCTGTGATGATTCAACATAACAAGACAGATATAATCGAACTTGATTCAAGTCTTGTTCAATTTAGATGTGGGGATTTGGTGATGATTATTCCCTCTTTAAAGGGTGGCTGCAATAGATTTTTGTGATTACAAACTTCTAAAATGCTCCTTTCTGCCTCAGTTAACCTTATTTTCAACTTCAGTTTCATTATTTCAAAGGGCGTTTTAATGCCTTTTTGGCTTTTATGCTAATTTGTATTTCCCTATTGATGCGCAAAACTGTTTTGTCATCACAGGAAGAAGTCCCAATGTTACTTTGGCTTGTACACGAAAAGTCCTGGGGTTTTGTAGATTTTCCTGGACTCAGTTGTCTCTTCTTTGCCGATTCATTGTTGTTCATGTGCATAGCAATGAGAAAATGTCAATCCCTCTCTCAGAAATGTTTTCAGTAGGTAAATCTTGGGTTCACAGTTTGAACAGAAACACCTATGCACATGAACCATGCCTTCCCTAGATGGTGTCACAGCAACAGCTCCCTCAGTTCCTTGATTTTAAGCAGAGTCTGAATCGGTTTTGGGCCAAAGTTCGGATTCAAGTCGAAGTCCCAGTCCTCGCCAAGTCTGAGTTCGGTCGTGAAGTGGCTGTTACAACCAATTCAAATTAACAGTAGACTGATGGTCAGAACGAGGAGACTATAAGGTGTTTCACCAAGGACGCGTGCGAAGCGGCATACCGAGTGCTACTAAGCAACAAGAAAATTGGACTCCAGTCAGAGTCCAGTAATCCCTTCAAAACCATGACAGGTCATTTTTCTCTCAAATATCAGTCTGCTATGAGAATTCGGTGCTTCTGGTTAATAACGTGGGCTTCGCATCACACATTGATCTTTTGAAGCATATGAAGCAAGATACGGGACAGAGAGCACCCCAGCCTTTCTGTTGGTCATTATTTGATTGGAATCTGAGGAATTCTTTAAAGGCATTTAGGGGATGTGTAAGTTAACAATAGTCTTGAGTGGGTACAGGGATTGAACATGTAAGGGGGAGGTATCCCTCCATCCCATATCTTGCTGGGTATATTTTGGAGTCACCTCTGCACTAGAGCGGTTCCTAAATCGGCCTGGATGACACCTACCTCCAGCGGCAGCAGCCACTGGCTGTTGTAGGGGCTCCTGTTGTGCATTCATTCCAGCAAACCGGATGTCAACCTGCCGCTGTTGTTGCATGATCGTCATGGGTACAAACTGTGCATTGGCTGGTTGAGGCACGGATTGCACCTTTAAATTTAAAAAAGACGTATTCCAAATTCAAAACTGAATAAAGCATTTTGAAAGCAATAAAATCTCAAAGTCTGGAATGTGGCGCGACTGATTAGTCATTTGGCAGTATCGTCCCGATGTAGATGAGTCTATTGGCCTTTTGTCGTGTGCATTGCGTGTTTTTGACTCAGATATATTTCATTTAGGCTCCGAGTAACTTTTTGGAAACGTTTCAGAAGTTATGAAAACAAATCAAATCATTGATGGTGGACATCTACTCTTTTCGAAACGAAAGCTATAAAGACCACATACCGTAACTGGGGTGTAGGAGTTGCAGCAGGAGCAGACGCCATAGCAGGACATAGAGGCAGTCACGATGCTGATGATCATCTCAGCCAGGCCGAGTATGGCCAACAGCGAATCAACGGCTTGACGAGATGGCTGTGAAATCCACAACGATGTCAACATTTGTTAACAAGAACAGGCAATTTACTTCTTTATCCTGATGACCAACAGAAAGTCAACGCCGTGTGGCTGCATAGTAAATACGATGTTTGTCATGGACTTGCGCGGATTTGCACAAGGTTTTCAGCCTTCCAAAAAGCAGTTTTAGTGGATTTTGCATTTGGATATTCTTCGCCAATTAAAGAGAGGATCAGCGGCCAGAAATAAATTATGCCCATTTACCGTCCCAACAATACACGAAACACCGCCATACGGCTCGGGATGCGGTCTACAAAAGTAGCCGAACTCGGACAAGGCCGCGATGACAGAGACAATCAGCAACTGGCAAGCTGCCACTGCTGTGAGTATGGACATCACCATCACTGCAATGACCTGGAACGAAAACAAAAAGGGGAAATGATCATATTTTGGACACAGGAGGGTTGACGTGATGTCACACAGTGAATGCATTTTTAAGTTATTAGAGTACTTTTAGTCTCTCTACCGTGAGCAGAAGTACCCCCTCTTCGGTTGGTCGGAACTGCTCATTTTGCTGGCCGCGACACGCCCGTAACACGTGCATTTCATAGTCGTTTATGAACCTGCGAAGTGCAGGTCCGACAAAAGCAGCCTCCGTTGCTGGGAAAATTGCGCCCTCATTTGGTCCAGATAGGGGCTCATAGCGTGGGGGTGTGTGGGACTGTCAAGTAATCGTGTCCTGAAATTACAACAATACAACGCTTTCCAATTTCATTGTACCACCGATCTCGAAGCACTTTAAATTCGCGGCTTGTCTCGTGTTTTTCCCCCATACTGCTCATGTGATACGTGCTGCTTGCTATCTCCATCCAGTTTGACTAATAAGGTGATAAACAACAGTGGATAGGCCTGGGTACAGGAACATCTCTGTTTATTGGCAAGTGTTATTACAATAGTGTAGCGACAGGGTTGTCGAGGGTTGGTAACATAGAGAAAAATGATCAACGCAAGATTTTTGCCATTCTATTTATAACGAGCAGTTGACATCACGAATCATCGGGCAAAGTTCCTAAAACGCAGTTACATGTGTAAAATACTTGCCAACAGCTGTGAAGTAAATCTCTTTATTTATATCATACATTTTTTTTTACTCGGTATGCCAAAACCTTTTCATTTGGGCCACACTATTCGCTAAAGATAATTATTATTGATGGAAACTGACAACAAACATCGACAAAGACTGATCCAAAAGCATCGGGGTGGGTGGCAGCAAACTTGTTTTGTGTGGGGAGCATATAAAAGGTGAAACTTTATAAACTTTTGTTGCCTTTAATTACAAAGTACGAAGCTACATTCCAGAGCTTCAATTAAAAGGGGAATCCAACATACTAAGAAAAAGTGCCTTTCATTTTTGTTTCAAAATTACGTGGAACAGGTCTCCTTAGGAGACCCCGGCCCCGGTTCTGCACCCGTTCTTAAATACAAACTGTAGGCCTATGTTTAAAACGGTTGCACGTCATTGGTATGAGGTCCTCTAGACTTCCTTGCTATGAAGGGAATTTTTATGAGGAATGAAAACAAGGTAAATTCATTTAAATAAATCGATTTAAGTCATTGATTTAAATCACAAAATTAACACATCACTAAATAAAATCACCTTACTTATAGAGAAACCTTTTCGTTTGGGTATTTAAAAGGAAGAGATTCACATACTGATGCCTCAAAACAGTTACACATGTACATTTATCTTTACTTATCTTTAGCGTTTTTTTTAGTAAAGAAAAATGAAGACAGAGAGTTTTGTTTGGAACTGGTTACAAGTTGGAATTTGGAACGCGTACTACCACTTTGCGCATGGATGGTTTTAACAATGTGAAAGAGAGTCAAGTCATTTGAGTTTTTCAGTTGAGAAAACCTGTTAATGGAATAGACATTCCATTTAAATGCATTTAGAAATACATGTATGATATATTGCTATAATCATGAAAACTGGAACACCAAAGATTGTGTACTCATTCAATAAACTCTCACAAAATGTTATAAATAATATAATAAAATTAGAGTATAAGAGTTTTATCCGAATTGAAGACGCAAACACACCTATCTTTGATCATCATGTTTTATCACTGAAATATTTATTTATACCAAGAGTTTGTATGTAATTCAGCATACAGGTAACTCAACTTAGCAAGATTTTGGATTAAAATAAACACTTCGATATGCGACATTTTTAGCCAAAGCAGTCAACAGTGGGTCCTTTATTAATCATCACAGGGTGTTCCATGTGTTTAACGTCAGGACAAAAGCTTTCCTGGACTTGAAAACAAGATCGACTAAAATAAAAGGATTTTATCAAACTAAATCTGATTGAATTTTTAAAAATCTGATTTTTTGTTTAACAAAAATCAAGATTTTTAACAACCCTGAATGAGAAATAAAGAAAAACAAAAGACTGGGACCTAAAATGTCCTTGTTTTAAGCAGAATGTTATATTTTATATTCCATTTTGACGAGGTTCGACTGTTCATGTACTACTTTTCTTCAGAATATTCTTTAGTACCTGCCAAACTATAAAAATTGGAACTTGAGAACAAAAACTCGCCCTATTTTTTTCAAATTTTTGTCCCCTAAAAGCCGTTAATCGTTTCAGGCTACAAAAGGAACATTATTAGTAACAAGGAATGAACCAGCTTGAATCCCGATTCTAGTCAGCCGACCACGCTCGACAAAATTCCCATGATGCATGATTCGGTGTGGGCTTTCCCAGTGTCTGACAGCACCTCAATTTTGCATACAATTTGGTATTCTGATAACGAAGTGAAGAGCCGCACGAGGACGCGACCGATTTCTGTTGAAACGTGTGGTTCCCGCTTAGAACCTATACGTCGCGCGTGCAACATGCAAGTTGCCACCAGCCTGTCTCTCGTTTACAAGTGACGCAGAGCTTCCAATCAGAAAGGATTTAGAAGAAAACTCTTTCCCTTGTGTAAACACGAAGCTCAAACACCACTGACCCAATACAATTTGAAGTCCAAAGTTTCAAGCCGTCATCGGCCAGCAATGAGCCCCGAGCTGGACCAAGAGAGGGCGCAACTTTCCCGGCCACAGAGGGTCATTTGGTGGGACGTGCAGTTGTTCACAAACGACAATGAAATGCGGCCGCGTCGATACCAACAAAATGAACACTCCCCATCAACTCTGCGCTTTTCAACAATGACGGGTTGCTTCTACTTAAGGTGGATAATCAATAGCTAATGCTCTGTTTACTGGAAAGGAAAGAATCATATCTTACCATGCATCTATTGTTCTTTTGATACCCAGCGACCAAACCCAGAATTCCAGTCAAGAGGAAAAACTATAGAAACAAAGTGACGAAATCAGAAATAAGTCCCGTATCATTTATCTAAGGTCACTACAACAACAAATTTTCTGTCATGCTGTGACATAGTTCATAAGCTTAACGTTGTGTAAAGTTCAACTGCTTAACACAATCCACTAAAAGTCTGAACATGCTTAGTATGAATTTTTCCATTATTTTATGAAAAAAGTTCAAACAAATCTTCTGTTCCATTTAACCATATAAACGGAGGAAACAATTATTTTCAATACATTTTTCTATTTCATTTTCACGGATGTCGAAAATCCATTTCTCCAAAACTTTCTATCCCAGCAAAATATTTCATAGGTATTTCATATGACATAATACGTGTCCCCAACGCGTGGCACATAAACTGACATAAGCCTACATATCAACGATATAATTTCTTTCATATTCGTGTTAACAAAATGATTTCCAGGAAGCGCTCAGAAAGTGTTATGATTGCACATAAACACAACAATTTGAAAACCCCAGACTAAACACTGTTGCTATACCTCGTGTTTCAGGGCAAGCTTTTGCATAGCACCCATCTTTGGAATAGATTGGTTCCTTTGTGCCCTTCTTATCCATGAAAACAGCATATTGATGGAAGACATTTTCTTCTGTAGCTATATAAAGCAAAACCTTGCCCTAAGTCATGAGGTATAGCAACAGTGTCTGTGGTATGGAAAATTCTAATTATGTTCACGGAAGTTAAAAGGAATTCAGGGTACCAGATTTTACTCAAATTTAGTTCACAAAAGGCTAATTCCCCTCTGAACTCCAACAAAATTGAAAAACGTAATTGACGCCACTCACCACAAGTCCACTCCAGATACCCCATCCAGCATACGAAGAATTGCAGCGAAGCACTATAGCAACGATCCCCAAGAGAGTACTCAGACTCCCCAGCACGATGTGGACTATCGATAATCCCATCAGTCCGGGGACCTTCTTGTAAGGCGTGTTGGGGCTAGGGCCAGTTCTCAGCGGCTGGCCAGACTGCTGCGTGATCACACCGGGCTGACTGGTCGGAGTCATGATGACTGGCTGGAAAAAGATAACCCAAAATGCCAACGGGGCAAAATATACGATTAAATTAAAGCATCTGCATGAATACATGGTTCTCGTCACGTGACACTATGTTGCTGCCATTATGATGGAAATGTACACACTAGGGCGCGAAGCAAGTACCGACGCGAAACGTAAACGCCGACAACGTTACAGAAGACCCGGACTAGAATCAAGTCTAGTTCATTCTTGTTATTTAACTATTTATCTCGCCAGGAAGAATGCAAAAAACACGTAATTACATACAAAAATACAAAACAGAAAAAACGCAAAAACAGACAGACAACTTTAAATTAAGAAAAACCGCAAACAAGATGATGTGGGACAGGCAGATAGATAAATTACAAACAGGCCTACATACAGAGTAACAGACATCTAATGCTGCATCTGTACAGATACGAAACCAGACGATAGACAACTCAATTTAAACAAACGCTCTAACAGCAAGACTGAGAGACAGTAAACTGACACCAATCAAACAGTTCAAGGGCATGAGAAAAGCAGTAAAAAAAACTCACACATATATACAGAAATAAAACATGGAGAAATAACAATACAAAGTCAGATACTAAAAAACAAGCAACGAACTAGAAAAAGATCAAATACCATAAAGAAATAAACAGCACTAGCAAGAGGGAGATGTGTTCCAGGTTCCAACCTCCAATTTCTGAGTTAATGGAAGTCTACGAGACTAGTGGTTTTAAGCCGAAAACAACACAGTCCTGAATTTCACCAGGAAGAGTAAGAGTGTTCCATGTAATGTGAAATTTACGAGCCTATTGCACCGTTGGTTCTCGATAAAACGTAACCATATCTGCGTGTCTTTACACTGAGTTAAAACTACAGCATTCTTTACCGGCAACTGAAACCTGGACGTACCGAATTTATATTTGATGACCGAAACAACAAAAGGATGAACCTGTTGCTTAAAACTATATCATAGTAGTAGTACATAAATGTTAGAGTGAACAAGATGCTTGTACGCTGGTTTTCTTTTTGCTATGTACGGATAAATATACAGCCCTCTAGATTAATAATGTGTGCAATTACAAAATAGAGCTTAACTGATATCTTTTCATAGTTTCAGAGGGGAATAGAAATATTTCTGAACTGTTGGGTAATTTAGATTTTTTTTGGAGTATGTGTTATAATCATGTACTCTATGATTAGTGCTGATCTGTTTGAATCAATTTTCTTTTGGGAGTTATCAATTACTTATGGTATATTTTAGGTCACTATGTTTACCTCTTGAGACCTACGGTCTAGAATCGCGTATGGCCAAATCTGCCACAGAACAACTGAGTCGGCCTCCTTAAGCTGGCACCATACTAGACAGTGCGGTGCACGTTTCGCGGGAAACCCCTCTTAGGCTACCAAAAACAGTTATTCAAGTGCGTGTTTTTCCCTCTTTTGTGAGGTCTGACATACATGAAAATACATGATTTGAAGAGATCATAACATGCTCTGTTATAGGACGTGCTGCTTGAGTTTGTGAAAACGTACATCAACCATTCGTCCTGAATTCCATCCCTTGACAGTGAATGACGAAACGCCAGTTGTTGTATTGGATGGCAAGTTTCGCGCCTGTCATTCCGATAGTTTTCTGTTTCGAGAATCCATTGCATCGTGAGAACTCTCACGAATGAATTCTGTGAAAGTAACCGCCCCATCTGTGAATATTCATTTAAAAAAATCCCAGATTTTTTAGGCCCTCTTCACTGGGTCATTACCGTGAATTATGTATTTTTGTTTTACATGGCTGCAAGTGGCTGCATGGGTGCCATTCCTGCGTGTATGTTAATGCATCTATAGGCGCAGGCATAACAGGTGTGGGTGCCGGCTGGCGCGCGGCGCCTGCACCTGTTGCATAAACATGCACTGCGCAGGTGTACCGTATTCCTACCCAAACGACGCCCACTCATGCCATTACAACACGACGCATTACGCGTATTCATGGCGAAGTGAATACGCGGTGCTATACGATCTTTGGCCAAAAAAGTGGTGCCAGACAGAGTACCATAGCAGAGGAGAAAGCGCAGCAGCCCGCTCGTATCGTCCGTCCGGCTCCATGTAAAAACTAGATTCATTCTCACCTAACCACTAGGCCTATAGGCCTATGTCATGCACGACAATGACCATTGCACCACCACTTTTCTTAAACTCTTCCAATAGGACCGAATTTCCTCATCCCGGTTACTGGCAGCCATGTACAGTATGTATCATGATGCATGGCAGACAAACCGCACCCAAGGCCTACCAATTCCACACTGCAAATCGGCACATCGTCATCAACATGCGCGTGCCACTGAAGTGTACGGGAAAGAGTGGCGTATAAACAATTCCTCACGAAAACGTGTATGATGGAATCTTTTTAAAAAGCCCCACTTTCGTCTTGCCAAACCTGACTGAACCCAGGGTATTCCTGCACAGTACAAGGGTCCGATTTACAGTGAATTTACTTACCTGGGTGAACAGCAGAGTGGTGATTTCCCGAGTCAGTTTACAATTTCATTTGCCACCCAGCGAATTTGTGTGCTGTCATCCCATATGTCTGTCGACGAAGCTTCCATCCTAGACTGGTTCCTGGTCCCATTTTTCATCGGCCGAGTGCTGAAGCAGGCTTGCTCAGGCTGTGATCCTCAAGGTCAAATACATTAACATGTGACATGTCATTACGAATTACAACTCAATCGCTGAATTGGCAAATGAATAAATGATATACACTGTATGCTGGCCGTCAGCATTTCCCCGAAACATAAAATGTAGCGTACCACATATCACTTTGTGAAATTAACACGTTACGAGGTTGGCGAAAAAGTTACAAGTCGGCAAATTGACTCTGGCACCCTACCCCCAAGAAGCCTTTGCTACGCCACTGGGTCAAAACGTTGACCTTCGCCTTGAGAGTTAAAGCCCTGGCCCTAAGGATCAAAGCTTTTGCTAATCAGAAAAAAAAAGTCCCACGTGACGCATGATGGTCATAATGCTATCGATGAAGCATGCGACCAGCGTATGATGCTGTTGTACTAATTACCCTAGCTAAAACGTGTAGCGCGGGTGTATAATATGCCAGCACAAAGGGTTCTGCATGTTACAGATGGGGGTGAGGACCAGTCTACTTCCCGCTGTACGCAGCCAACTGCAGTTACGCAGGCCTACTCGACTTCCTCTCTGGCCATCAACTATTTTTTTCAACGAGGAAGATCGAGATGGCGGTAAATTGTCCCAACCTGCTACTAACATGTTTCAGTAACCACACCAAGAGCAACTAATTATTCAGTATTCGTTTCGAGAAACAATTTGTTGAAAGACAACTAAGTTTAATGTTAACCTAAGGGGAAACGGTCGACGCACGACTATAGTGGAGTCATTTCTCACCGGTAGGCCTACATGTATGTTGTTCAATGTTGTTCAGTAGGCCTATACAATGTGTTCAGTGACCCTTTTTTCCTCTTTATTGTCGCGTCAACACGTAGCCGGCACTTCATATTCACTTGCATTTTACAAAATCTGCACGACAGCCACATGGGCTCTAAGTGCACGCTGCATATGTGTAAATACATGTACATGGTACATCGATTTCTGACATGCGATTTGACATACTAGGCCTAGTTTGCCTTGTTTCAAAGCAAGTTAACTACATGTACTTGGCTTCACCTTAATACCTCGGGCGGAAATCCGATGGCCGGTAAAAACTCGCAATGCACGTTTCAGGTTTGGGAAATCCAGAAAAAAACCAGGAAGCTCGCACTCCACTAGTTTTACTTGTGAGTTCCATCCATCTTCATTTTAGTGCTATCTCTTGAACGCTATTACTATTATTTTGATTTTGTTATATTCCTCGTCATTACGTTAAGGTGGTGAGTGTAATTGCCATAAAAACCATATTAGCGGGGATGAAAAAACCGTCAAAGTGCCGTCTTTGGCCTTTTCTTCAATCGGTTGCTGAAAACACAAATTGAAGTTAACGTTTACTGACACTTCTTCACATCTTCCACGTTTTTCCCGATTTCCATGTTCTGAAAGGTTCAAAAATTGCATGCTCATTAATATTGACTGGGCTATAACATGTCTCATAATCACAGATTTCAGAGCCAACCTCCAATGCACAGCCTAAGGTTTAATCCTGAGTTGGTTTATTTCAGAGTATCTCACAACTGCGGACTACAGCCCCCCCCAAACTAGGCTGTCCCGTGGTCAATTAAGAAAATTCAGAAAAATTCAGAAAATGTGCGATCTAATTTGTAAAATGGAATTTCAATTTAGCGTAGATTTTGAAAACGTCTAAAACCTGGTTTCAATTTGACAATAACAAGCATTCGACTTCGTTTTGTATCCCTCAAATCAGTTAATGTGCATTATGTCTCATAAAGAGGTGACAAATATGTGACTGGGCTTTCGGATTGACGTATTCTTTCTCAATTACAACAAATGTGCAATTTTATTCGCTGAAAATCTGTCTTTTACCGTGACCCTTTTTGAGTATTCATTTTCATTTGCTGTAATTTAAAATCGCAAAATATACGTTCAATTCGATTAGAATATACAAGGTTACACAAATCATGACACCATTTTGATAATAAATGCCATGTTACTCATTTATAGTGTGTTTGTTACCAAAGTGTAAAAAAAAAGGTTTCTTTGATTGAAACACAGCACAAGAAGGACGGTTCCTTCACCGCTGGTCTTTATAGGTTTCCCATAGTCGGTAGTTTCCAATGACAACATGAATTTTTTGTTTCAATCATGAATATTCAAACATTTAACCAACTGACCCCACTCCTCCATGAAGTAGAGCTTCATCAGGTTGATCGGGAGACAGAAAACTGGCCTAATGTCTGCTTTTAGACCTTGGGCAAACAATTGTTTGAAAATTTCTACAACGTCACTATTTGTAACTTGAACAAAGAACAGCCTTCAAAGGCACACCTTTAAAATCATGCTTTATTGTAACAAAGATAGTAACCTTAAAACGAGTACAAAACAACATTAGAATGTGAACAATTCAAGATAAGAAAGCATAATTTCTATCCAATATATTCAATCTAACGGGTCATATTCTTTTTATAAAAATAATAATGATTTTATTTACAGACACCATTTCCCACAAAATTAAATTATAAAACCAACTACCTTAATGCTTTTTGTTTTGAATCTTTCCAAGGGTTTTCATTAACTTGACTCATCAGAACAGCGGCACATGAGGAGACTGAAAGTCACCCAAGTCAGTTATATAACATTTTTGATCTATGAACTGTTGTCTTTGACAATCTCAGCTAGTTTTCCTTTTCAGAATTCTTCCTCTCACGCTTGGTCCATGCATGCAGACGTATTGCCTTTGAGCACACTGTATTTCTTTTCTGCAGGAATGTGCACAATTTAGTTTTAGTACGAACGCAATTTTGTCTCTGGTTTGTTTCATCTATTTTCTGTTTGAAAGCACTCAAGACTTCTTTTTTCTCCATCACGGTTAATTTTGTCTACTGTCTTTCCCAATTGGTGTTATCAAATTCAGAATGGAAGCGAACGGAATTTTGAAACTGAGATTCTTTACACAGTCAAATGCAATTTAAACGTAAGCTCGAATTACATATTGTAAGAAGGTATATCGATTTTTTTTCTCACTGAAATTTGTTTCGTGGGATCCTCATGTTCCTGTCATTTTCTCATAATCTGAGGAATTCCTTTGCATGATATCTAAAAGCAAAGCACGTGATATCAAGGCAGGATTTTATTTGTTTCGCTTGCGATTTTGGAATTTCTCAAGCGTTGTTCATTTTTGTGTTATTTCTGTTAACAGTGATTTGCAAAATTGTCAATTTGAGGTTGACAGAATTTTGTACAACAGAAGTAAGGCAGTCATCAATTAACATAAAAATAACCTCTCGTTAAGTTATCACTCCTCAGCTTTTTTCAACAGCCCTTTTTTCCTGCTAGTGTTTCTTACCGTTTAAAGTCTACTTTTACTTATCCAACTACTAAAACAAATAGAAATATCGCAAAAATTAGCATGAATGTGAAAAATGTTTGCCACAGGTTTAAGCTAAAATTTGACCACCTTCCCCGAAAAGCTTCAACAAAACAAATTCAAATGAACCGTATTAATCGCAAGACTGCTCCAAGTAAATGTTGAAATGCAAAGACACTTTAAACCGATTCTCTCTGGGCACTAAAATGATTCTTTCATTAAATTAGGAGGAAAGCTGGACACTCAGTAAAGTCACGAACGATTTCACACTGAAGCAAAACGTAGAGTATGCAGAAAGTCATCCTCGTTATGCCAAACTGAGTAATAATGAAATCTTAGACTCCGATCCACAATTGCATTCATCTGCTACCTACCACATTTTCTAAGACAAGTTAAGTGCAATCTTTCCAATTAACTAAAAATCCTTTTCTTCAGCACTCATACCTTTATACCTTCTCCCACCAAAACATGTCTGTCTCTTTTAATGGAAATAATTGCTATTCCTGACATAGCGGAAACTGCCATATAGCAATGAATATAAAAGCAATTATAAAGATGTGTGTCCGTTTAACAATAAAATATGTAATAATAATGACATCTCTAATGCGCAATATTAAACAATGTTCTAATGTGCATAACAAATGACAGATACCTTACCAAAAGAAGATATAAGTGCTGTAATAATAGCAATTTTCTACACTACAAAGCACGCCTCATATTTACATATTCAGAAGGGTTTGATTAGGCAAACTTGGTTTTGAACCGTTTGGAAACTATTTCATAAAAGACTTTGTTTCATTTTCTTAGCTGGTTTGGCCCTCTAACTTCCGTGGGTATTCGCTTCAAAATAAATGTAACGCTAGTCGACAAAAGCTTTGGGAAGGAGGGACCATTGACAGTTGGACAGCGATTTAAGAAGTTTCAAGAAGACCTTTCTTGTCATCGTGATGGAAATGCTCACTTCCTCCGGTTTCGGCAACGCCCTTCTGGTTACCAAACACCTGCGGTCCTTCGGCCGTCTGCATCCCGGCTCCAGCGGGCCTGGTCGGTGGGGCTTGGCCCGGTACAGTGACAACCACCTGCTGGGGAGCGACGCCGGTCGACTGGGGGGCAACATTCACAGGCTGCGGTGCTTGAAATGCAGGACCTCCAACGGGTTGGGGAGCGTAGGCAGTTCCCTGGGGGGAATTGGCATACTGTGGACCAGCCGAGGTTCCTGTTATGATTCAACATAACAAGATAGATCTGAAGAAACTTGATTCACTTGTTCAATATAGCTGTAGGGATTTGGAAATGATAAGTTCCCTTTTTATACGGTTTGCTTCTTTAATAGAAGGTTGCAACTGCAAAATTCTTCGCACTGTATCTCCGTCAATGTGTTCGTGCCACAGTCTTCCCACTAAGTGGCCTGGGTGTGTAGGTGGGTGGGGGTGTTTTACATCCTTTAAGGTTACATTGCATTTCAAATCCTTATGTTAAGGTAAAACAACTTGCAGATGAGACAAAGAGACCACTTCTTTACAGTTTTGTTGTTTACACGTCATGAACAAACTTTTCTTCCAAAATAGTCCGAACTTGTACAAGGGAAGCAGAATGATGGTCAATACAAGGAGACTATACTGAGTGAATGTTTCACCCAGGACGGGTGCAAGGCGGCATACTGAGTGCTATTAAGCAACAAAAAAATTGGACTCCAGTTTGAGTCCAGTACTCCTTTCGAAACCATGGCTTAAAATGATTTGATGGTCCTCTGGCAACCACAAGCAGGTCATTTATCTCTCAAATATCAGAGTCTCTGTGAGTCTGCTATGAAGAAGTCGGTGCTTCTGGTTAATAACGTGGGCTCTGCATCACACATTGATCTTTTGGAGTATATAGTGCAAGATATCGGACAGAAAGCACCCCTGCCTTTGTGTTGGTCATTGTTTGATCGAATTTTCAGGAATTCTTTACAGGCATCTAGGGGGATGTGTTAGATAACAATAGTCCAGAGTGTGTGTAGGGATTGGACACGTAAGGGGGGACACCTCCGTCCCATATCTTGCTGGGTATATTTTGGAGTCACCTCTGCACTAGAGTGGTTCTTAACATAATGTAGTATGTACTGGATGGGCCTGGATGACACCTACCTCTAGCGGCAGCAGGCATCTGCATTGGGTGTTGCTGGAATTGCTGCGGTGCATTCATCCCCGCAAACCGGATGCCCGGAGCCTGCTGCTGTTGTTGGATGGTCGTCATGGGTACAAACTGTGCATTGGCTGGTTGAGGCACGTACTGCACCTTTAAATTTAAAAAAAATGGCGTATTCCAAATTCAAAACTGTAAGCATGTATTGAAAGTAATAAAATCCGAAAGTGTGCCGATTGGTCATTCCGCAGTATCGTCCCGATGCAGACGAGCCTATTGGCCTTTTGCCGTGTGCACGTTATTGACTCAGATTTCATTTATTATCCGGGTGTCTTTATGGAAACGTTTCAGAAGCCATGAAAAACAAATCAAATCATTGATGGTTGACATCTACTGTTTTCGAAACGAAAGCTGTAAAGACCACATACCGTAACAGGGGTGTAGGAGTTGCAGCATGCGCAGACGCCATAGCAGGACATAGAGGCAGTCACGATGCTGATGATCATCTCAGCTAGGCCGAGTATGGCCAAGAGCGAATCAACGGCTTGACGGGGTGCCTGTTAAATCCACAACGAAGATCTCGTCAGGTGAAAGCAACAGAAGCAGTCGAAACCCAACCCAGCTCCCCTAAAATTAAGATGTGTCACTGGTTGCGAGTTGTTGGTAAAACGCCCAAGATGATGACATAGAGAACCCACCAAGAATCAGAGGGCGACCCTGACAACGTCAGTGGTGCAATGTACGTGCCCGTAAGAAGTCAACATTAAGCGGACCAGCCCTACTACAGTTGGGAAGTAGGAGGAAGGTGGAATGGTCCCCATTATAAGTAAAGCGGACGAGCACACTCAAAATATCCAAGAAACAGGTAAACAGTAAATGACGTCTGTCTCCTAAATTTCAATTTGTTCCTTACCTAAAGTAAGTAATTAATGATACAATGAAAGTGTGATCACGGTCAACAGTTTCCTAACAAGACGACTTCGTTATTGTACACTGCAGTACAACACACGATACAGATCATAACAATGGTCCCATTGTGCACCGCCTCCAGACATGGGGATGTAGTGACGAAAAATACCAATACAGGACTCTTTCTAGGCCTTGTGATTGGACTGAGAACGCGTTAAGGGGACCAGGAAAGAGAAACATTTTACTAAATTTTACTAAAAACCCTTGAAATTGCACCTTGGACTCCAATTAACCTATTTCAAATTTTTGTTTTAAAATTTTAACTCATATTTTGAAGCTTTTATTGTTTTTTATGCTAAGGACAAACTATGATGTCATTAAAGGCACTAAACCTCATTGTTTCATAAATTGGTGCAAAGAAAATATCTAGAATTTTTGAAACACTACTAACGTACATGTGATTTCCTTCGGCAATTTAATGTTGAGTGAGTAAATGGCAATAAGCCAGCAAACCTTTTCTAAGAAATGTTGTCAGATGGCAAATGTTGGAGTTCATAATTTGAACATGGAAACATGAAAATTGAACCAAGTCTACCAGGATTTACACCAGAGCAAAAGCGCCCTCACTTGTCCAGAAATGCCGGGTCAATTGGGAAGGTTTAAAAAGCGCACTTTTCAGTTCATGTAACTTACAGAAGATTTCAAACAGTCTTACACAGATACATAAAAAGTGATTCTAAGAAAAATTAATTTCATGGTTCCTTTTCGAAGATCTATTCGAGGGTAAGTCTGGTACCTGCAGCCGCCGTAATTGCAGCTCAAGTAGCGTGTATTGAAATTGCTGCAGTTAAAAAGCTCGTAGTTGGATCTTGGGCGCGGGCTATAGGGGTCCACCGCCTGGTGTGGAACTGGCCGCCTGGCCTTTCTCTTGGACTTGGCCCGGTTTTCTTGACTGAGTGCCGGGTGCAGCCAAAACGTTTACATTAAGAATATTGGAGTATTCAAAGCAGGCCGACTGCTTGGACAGCAGAGCATGGAATAATGGAATAGTACCTCAGTCGGTTCTATTACGCTGGATTCTGGAACTCGGGGTAACGATTAAGAGGCAAACTATTTTTCTCATTATTATGACCAAAAGAAGTTCCAAGTGTGGGGCGACAGGGACGACAATGTTTGCCAGGGATTTGCCCCGGGTAGATAGGTTTTCTGCTCTTCAAAAAGAAATTTCAGAGGATTTTCCAATTTGGGAATTCTTCACAAAATAAAGAGGAACTGTCACGCAAAGCTTGTTGAAATTCCAGTTGAAAGTTTTCAGGCGCATGCCAGGCCTCAGGCCGCATTCATTGAGCACTACAGTGGAAAAAAAATACACTTATGGCTGGCCGTCTCGGAAACATGCGTGCTGCACATTGGTACATTGGAGTTCGCAACGAGCTTACAAACACTTATGGGGTAAACTCCATAAAATTGGTACTGTGGCGATATTGGACAAAAAATGTCTACCTCCCGTTTTTTCGGGATTAATGTTAAATTGGTGTGACCTTGTTAATTGGAGGAAAAAAAGCAGTGATGGATTTACGTTGTTTTCATAAGTTCCCCTTTATGATGGGTCGCTAGAAATGAATCATGCCCATTTACCGGTCCAACAATACACGAAGCACCAAACGGCCGTCCAGGATGTGGGTTACAATAGTAATGGGAGTCAGAAGCGATCGCAATGCCATAGACAATCAGCAACTGGCAAGCTGCCACTGCTGTGAGTATGGACATCACCATCACTGCAATGACCTGGAACGAAAACAAAAATGACAAATCATCATAATTCAGGCACAGGAGGGTTGTGGTCATGTCATGCACAGTGACTGCACTTCAAGTCATTACAGAGTCTATCTGCCTTGGGCAAAAACACCCCCTTATCGGTCGGTCGGAAGTGTTCATTTTGCTGGTAGCGACGCGCCCTTAACGTGTGCATTTCAGAGCGGTTTATATGCATGAACCAGTGAAGTGTACTTCCACCGTTGCTGGGAAAATTGCGCCCTCTCTTGGTCTCTCTTGGGGCTCATACCGCCGACAAGCTCCCATTCCGGGGGTATGTGGGGCCGTCTAATGATGGTATCTCGGAAGTACAGCGCCTTGCAATATCACCGTACCAACGATCTCAATGCACTTAAAAATCTCGGCTTGTTTTTGCTGCTCATGTGATACATTCTGGGGCTTCAATTAAAAGGAAAATCAAATATAGGCCTATTAAGAAAAATCGCCTTTCATTTTTTTTCAAAATTGCATCAAGAAGGAGGCCTCCTTTGGAGACCCCAGCCCACGTTTGTTCCCCCCCATGCAAACTGCATGTTAAAAACGGTTGCACGTCATTAGTAAGAGGTCCTCTAGACTTCACAGATTTCCTTGCTATAATATAACAGGAAGTATTTATAAGGAATGAGAACAACGTTGATTAATTTAAATCATGATTTAAAACGTTAAATACTTATCAAATCATTAGAAAAAATCATGTTTGGGAAAACCTTTCTTAGGGGTATTTAAAAATAAAAGAAAGGCTGAATTTAATACACTGATGCGTCTAAAAAAGTTACGCATTTACATTTATCTATAGGTACTTTCGGGTTTTTTACCAGAATAATGCAGAAAGACAGTATTGTTTAGAACTGGTCATAATTTGAAATTTTGAATGCGTATTACCACTTTGCAAGAATAATAGAAAGTCATTTGAAGATTTCCGTTGAGAGAACCTGTTTATGGAATAGAAATTCCATTTGTCACGTATTATGAAAACTGGAGTACCGACGATGTGTATTCATTCAATCAAGTCTCTCAAAATGGTACATCAAGCATGTACATATGTTAGCAACTGCAAGAGATTTATCCCCATTTTCCCACCTAAATTTCGCGTACAGTTTGGTATTCTGATTACGACGTGAAGACCCGCACGTGGACGAGACGGATTTTTGTTGAACTTGGTTCGTGCGTTGCGCGTGCACTATGCAAGTTCCCACCAGCCTGTCTCTCGTTTACAAGTGACGCGGAGCTTCCAGTCAGAAATGATTTAGGAGAAAGCTCCTTCCCATATCAAATATTAAGCCCGAATACATATGACCCAATACAGTTTGAACTCCAAAATTCCAAGCTGTCATTAGCCAGCAGTGAGTCCAGAGTTGGACCAAGAGATCGAGCGCGTAACTTCACTGGCGACGTAAGCTCCTTTGGTAGGAACTGCACTTGATCACAAACGGCCATAAACGCACGTGTTACGCGTCGCATCGCTACCAACAAAATGAACACTCCCTACCAGCGTGGCTCTTTCCAACCAACGACGAGTTGCTTCTGCTTATATAGGTGGATAGGCAAGCAAGCTGCAACATTATCCCTAATTGCTGTCTTAAAAAGGTTCGAAATGCTATCAGTGGAAAGGAAAGAATCATATCTTACCATGCACCTGTTGTTCTTTTGATACCCAGCTACCAAACCCAGAATTCCAGTCAAGAGGAAGAACTGAAGAGACAAGGGACCAATCGGAAAGAGGTATCTTTTATCTAAGGGTATTACAACGAATATTCTGCCTGTGTTATAGTTCATAAACTTTCCATTTTGTAAAGTTAAACTGCTTACCACTATCCAATGAAAGTCTGAACACGATATATATTACTGCTATTTCTTCCATCATTAAAGAAAAAACTCCAGCAATCTTCTGTTCCATTTTCCATAAAAATGGAGAAACAATTATTTTAATACGTTTTTCTTTTTGGAACGGAATTGTCGAATCGTCATTTCTATAAAAACATAGACTGTCCATAAACACAAAGCCGTAAATTCACGGATTTAGTTCAACGGATTTTGCTCCTTTTGTCTTTTTTTCCGCACATTATTATGGGTCATTCCGTGAATAAAAGGAAAACATAAGACAAAATAATCAGATAACAGAAACAAATGCAGGTAATTCTGCTGAACGAACTTATTTAGCTTTGTGTAATTCTTTTTCTTTCAAATTGAGGTTTTCTTTGGAAATATTAAGCTACATGTAGATGAAAAAATCTTTAGAGAGATTGGAATTTACTAATGATAAGTAAAACAATAAGGCTAAATACACGTATACGTACATGACCAATCAATTTACAGTGGTACGTGAAAGGGAAAAAATCCAAGTCTTTTGCTACCGGTACTAAAATGGGTCATATTTGAAATACAGGTATGCCAAGCAACTTTATATCCAAGCAAAATATTTTAATACAATAGGTATTTTACAGGACGAATTATGCGTCCCGTGGCAATAAAATGACATACATGTACATAACATCGATATAATTTCTTACATAGTCGTGCTATCAAAATGATCGCACAACGGAGTTTCTGCAATGTACAGGGCTCAATCCTTAGAGTAACTTACGAGATCCCCTTTCAAAGCAATATCGATTGATTTCCATTTCCCCTTTCAACTTCAATTTACGCAAGGAAAATGAAATCGACGCCACTCACCACAAGTCCACTCCAGATTCCCCATCCAGCATACGAAGAACTGCAGCGAATTATTATCGCAACGATCCCCAAGAGAGTACTCAGACTCCCCAGCACGATGTGGACTATCGATAATCCCATCAGTCCGGGAACCTTTTTATAGGATGTGTTGGGGCTAGGGCCATTTCTCAAGGGCTGGCCAGACTGCTGCTGGGTGATCACACCGGGCTGACTGGTCGGAGTCATGATGATCAGCTGGAGAAAAAGGTTACTCAATTACGGTTAAACCACAGAGCAAGGCCACTCAAAGTATCTGGATGGATACAAAATGGTTCTCATCACGTTGCACTTTGTCGTAGCCCTTATGACGACTTTCACATATAACTCATTACAAACTTCAGCCCAGCATACGGCTGATTTACAGGTTTACATCAGTCAGGTTGCAAAGAAAATCATAGGGGTGGGGAATTCGGATTGAAAATGTACATTTTATGAATTGCCAATTTTTACATATGTACAGTGCAGACGTTATTCACATGTCACAATGTTTGCTGACCGTTTGACAGTTTTGATCATGTTCCTTGCATACCTTGTAATAGTTGGCATGAAAGCAAACACACAAGCAAAATCTTCTACGCATGTTTGCGCTGCGAATTTGCAAACGTTTAGCACAGTTGACTTGGGGCGACATTTTCTACAATTTTTCGTGATGTTGAATTTGCTTCACTTACGTACACATTTGCCAGTAGCACGAGCCGGCCTTTCAATGTATTCTATTTGGGGTTCCTAGCTTCAATGTCTTTTTAATATTGCTTAAACAGATCTTAAACTATTGTAAATAACCTTAAGCTGTAATCTTAAACTATTGTAAATAACCTTAAGCTGTAATTAAGTTTGTTTGTTACCTTTATTTTAATTCTTGGATTCCCTAGATGAATAAGTTTCGCTTTCAAAACGCGGGAGCTTCACGATGATGTGCGCCACCAAGAGGTTACCACGGAGAGGCCTTTTTCGCAGTTCATAGTGGGTAGTCTCTATTATACTGACGGTATAGCAGAGATCAGTGTAAACGGTCAACGAAAGTTCTTTGCGAAGGCAGTTTTTGTTTGTTTGTTTGTTTTTTTGGTTTGGTATTTTCTCCGGGTTAAAGCTTTGGGAGTGTGTAAAGTATCGGTGTTAATTCGAAGTACTTGTTTTTTGTGAGGCAACAAATGCCCCAATTAATCCCACATTTCCTCAAATTGTCTAGTGACATTCCATTCTTGCAAATCGCGGCGAGTCGGGGGGGTCTGCTTTGGCTGAGGATTTCCTAAATTCATCGGTGAAATCACAACAAATTGAAAAAAAAAACTGAAAGAGGACATGTCAAGCATTATTTTGCCGTCCAACTTAGACATCTGTAAGAGTTGTATTTTGAAATATAAGGATTTATCATTTGTGTCTATGGGAATTTATTTTTATGGGTGCACCCATCGCGCACTTGGAGATACCGCAGTAATGGCTCCTGATTATTGTCACTGGATCGGTCTATTCGAATTCTTTCAAGGAACTACGGTAAACCACGGGTGTAGAGAAAGCTGACATGTAATAATTATACACCTGCCGTCCGTGACTAGTGGAGGTACAGATTTTTTGTAAGTTGGCCCATACGCATACAAACTACGGCAAAGGACCATGGGGCTACTCAACACAGAGAAGATCGTGTATTCACGGCATATAATACCAACCCCCTACTATAACACGTACAGCAAAAGCTGTAGTAAACTTCAAAGTACACCGTGCTGACGGTGACCAGACCACCGTACGGCCATATGCATACATAATACGTGTCATGATCCAGAGGTCCGCAAAGCCTGTTCGAAAGCACAGACATGTCGGTTTATATGCGTATACATATCATATTTATTTACTTATTTATTTCAGCAAGAAGGAATGCAAAAGTACACACAAGCAGATACAATAACATTCAAGAAAGAAAACAGTAAAACCCAATTTTCTTTAGGACAAAAATTTGAGAGAAAGGAATAGGATAAAACCCTTGCATCCAAATATATAAGCCACGCTCCTGAAATGTTAAGAAGCTTACTGTATTACTTTAGAGTTACTTGCCCACAGCGTGAAGTTGAAAAATTTAAGTAATTTGGAATTTGAAATTTGAAAAAAAAACCTTAATTCCTATAAAATCGTTGAACTATTGAGGGAAAAGGGCACCTATTATGGAAGACAAACATACATCAACAACAGACTGAAGACAGCAGATAAAAACCATACAGACGGACCAATAGTGAACTTCAAGCGAACAAGAAAAACCAAACACGTACAAACAAGATGACGTAAGACAGGCAGACAGAAAAATTACATATACATACAGAGAAAATAGAACTAAAAGATGCATCTGTATAGAGACACATAACAACATGATGGACAACTCAATTTAAAGAAACACTCCAACAGCAAGACTGAGAGACAGACATCACAAACCAACAGTAAAAAATAAATTTCTCTCAACACACAGACCATTTTAACAATTAAATTAACTACATGCACATGTATTCCAAACCAGTGTATGTAATCGAAGCATATGCCTCTGTTAAGCGATAGGTTCAAATATCTCTTACAAAATATAGTTTTGTAAGAAAAACTGGTTTAACAGCCTGTGCTTCGATTACATACACATACAACAATAGGCAACACGTGGGAGATAAAGCACAGCAGCAGTACGCTCGTCTTTCCATGGCCAGACTAATTCACTTTCGCCAAGACGCGCACGATAAATATCATTGCAACGCTACCATTAGTGACCTCTCAGCTTTTAATATGGCCGTCCCAGTTTCTTTATCCTGGTTACCGGCAGCCATGAGAGACGACGGACCCGCACCCCACATCAGGCACACTACCATCGCCCCATCGTCATCAACATGTGTGCATCTACTGTACATGTACATCTCATTGAAGCGCACGGGAGAGTTGGGTTCATTCACTACAAAATATGTATGATGAAATCCTTTTTAAATGCCTTATTTTCGCGTGGCAATACCGTAACTGAGGCATGAAGTGACCACGACAACCAGGGTATTCCTGCACAGTATCAGTGTCCAATTTACAGTGATTTTACTCACCTTGGATGAACAGGGGAGTGATGATTTCTCGCAGTCGTTTACAATTTCATTTGCCAGTCTTTACGTACGTAGCTAGCTTAGTCCTTCCACCACCCGTGTATGCAGCTTCCAACCTAGACTGGTTCCTGGTCCCCTTTACATCGTCCTTCGAGCTTACAATGTTCGGAGTGTCAAGCGAGGAAGCAATGAGTCAAAATGCGCTATAGCAGTTTACAGAAGAGCAAAATTTCGAACCTAGAATGTATTAAACTGGAAAGGTCAAAAGTCGATAGCCTTAAAGTAAGACCCTGAGAGTGGAAGGCAGGTAACGACCCCTCAAATTTAATAAATTCAAGTTAGAATTCATTATAATGTGACTACTAGCTTCCAAGTTCATCGGAAGTAATTTTAATTTGGTCATAGCCTTGAGGCTTTTGAGTCAAAGCCTAGGCCCTAGCCTTGAGAGGTTAAGTCTTGGCGGTTAAAGCCTTAATTGGCCCTGAGGATCAAAGCCTTGCTAATCCTAAAACATTTTAAACCGTCGTAAGTTATGTGGGTCTCACCATGTTAGAAATCTGTTGTAAGTGACGATTGGTGTTCATAATGCTGTTGATGAAGCATAATACAGCAAGCAGGATGCTGATGTAAAAACTAAATACTCTAAAACACGTATACTGCTGTGTATAATGTGCCGGTACAATGGGTTCCGCATGTTGCGGATGGGGCTGAGGACCAGTCTACTTCCCGCCCAATGCAGCCAAACGCAGTCACGTACGTAGGGCCTATGCCCAATCGACTTCCTCTTGGTCGATCAACTGTTTTTGGAACGAGGAAGATCGAGCTGGATAGGTAAATTATCCAAAAGTACAAATTAATAACGTGTTTCAGCACCCAGACCAAGAGTAACTAATTATTAAGTATTCGTTTCGAGAAACGATTTGTTGAAAAACGACTCAGTTAAATCTGAAGGGAAATGGTTGACGTGCGACTATGATGGAGTAGGGCTATGTTATTTTCCCACCAGTGTATGGGCCTATCGTTCAACTTACTATTCTGTGTTGCTCAGTATAGTGTGTTCAGTGACCCGTTTTTCTTCTTCATTGTCGCTTGCGCAAATACGTTGCCAGCAATTTCCGTTTGGCTTGTGTTTACAGCATGGCACCCGTTGGGGCTTTTAGTGCAAATAACGTATGTGTGAATAGGTCGCTTTCTGATACAACGATTTCCCTGATACTAGGCCTAGTTAGTTTGCCATGTTTGGAACCACGTTGACCGTGTAGGTTTTCCTGGCCAAATTCGGAAATGTGTAAATGAATAAGTCATAGTAGTAATCATTTTAGAGCTAAATAGAACGAACACTCATATCCCCGTTTCTATTTAAAGAAAAGACCAATCTGTTCTTGACTACAATCCAGAGTCAGCTGCTACCATCGACAATGGATTGTCAACCTGACCACTCCTTGCCAAGGTAACCATACGTCAACGATAGTGCGCCGTATTCGAAATCTGCGTTAATGTTGCGTGAAGGGCTATAGCAATGATCTCTTTGAGCAGACCCACCTTGCATGGCTATCGGTCCTTGTACTGGTTGTTCCGCTGTTTGCTGCTATGGATTCATCGTTACAAACCCTGACACCAGTCAGCTGCTCTTCCCATTGCAGCTGTCGCTGTCTTGGCTCTGCTTGCATGGTTGCCGTGGATACAAACTGTATATTGACTTGCTAGAGAACGAACTGAACCTGTTGAGATTACAAAAAGGAGCTGTATTCATTTGACACAATAAATATGACTTCAAGAATGATGTTCATTCCTGCTTCACGCTAAAAGTCATCGATTTTTCTTCGATGCAAGTGCATTTCCTGGCAATTTAAGCATCCGTGGGTGAATCATAAGCTCGTCAACAGATCATGTTAAGCACACAGCTCGGACAAAAAGCCAATATTCTAGGCTAACTCATTCCATGACCGACGTCATACATTAGTCAAGCCGACATAGTATCCATGTTTAACTTGCTTTTCGGATATTTTGCCGTGCCCAACGTGTGTTGTAACACTGTATACTTGGTATTTCCCGCGAAAGCTTGTGAAAAAACCACAAGCGTACTCGGATGAGACTCGAACCGTCCGTACTTACTATAGTGAAGACGTCTTAACCACTCGACCTGCCTTATATCCATTTACTCCTGGGTGGAGAAAGGAACATAGGGGTAAAGTAACTTCCCAAGATCACAAAATTTTGCCACCAGCTGGATTCGAACCCCCGACCCTATGATCAGAAGCTGCAAACCATATAACCACTACACCACATACGATCTCAGGAGGCCAATAAGTGGCGGCTTTCACAGGGGCGTGTGGTATTGCTAGCTCAAGTCAAGTAATTAGCCAGACATGGCCTGATCAGTGCTATCTCTTCTAAAGCAAAGCAAGGTTTTGATTCCAGGGTGGGTAACAAGGAGATTTTCCTCTCTAACCGATTGTCCATGCAATTCTTTGTTTGTCCGTAAATAATCTCAACCTATATCCAAAGAAAGCTGTACATGCACTATATTGTTTCTAACGAGCAGAAAAGGCAATTGGGAGGGGGAGTGGTCAACTTGTTCCATGACCCCTCCCCCAGTACGCTACTCTCTCATTTCTGGTCTGACTCCCTGTCGTTGTACTATAAACAGCCTTACACAATCACAAAAAGGCATAAAAAAACCACAAAAAGAAAGATTCCAGCAGGCACGCAAAAATCACTTGTGCACGAGTTTATAAAAGAGAGAAGGTTCACGGTTCATAACACACCGCAATATCCAGCTCCTGTTCTAGTAATTCTTTGGTTTTACGTTAATTCGGTTGTCTTTTTTCAAAACTTCCCGTCAAAGAAAGCCCATGAGAGAAAAAACGGACTCAATGTCGTTCTCAGCATTTTCCTCATAGTTAAAAATCGATCCTTAGCATAGTTCAAATTACATTTCGATTCTATCTTTTAAACGCCTTATAATTTTCTCTCGTTACCCAAGATCCAAACTTCTGGAGCCATTACATTTATTTAAAAACAGTCCAATAATCATAATTTAAGTGATAATGACAATCATTGAATTGATTCCCCATGTACAGGGTTTAGTAAGAGTGGAAACTATTAAAAATCAGGCTGTATGAGTAAACTTCTCAATCTATAATTACAAATGTGTAAAATGTCTAACACATGAGCAGTGACCTTAACAAAAATACACAGTGTGCATCATAAGCCGAAATCAAAGTTCTCTCTTCTAAATTTATCATTTACATGCTTTGCGACTAAGGGCCTGGTTGTTTCAAACAGACCTGGATCGTGATCAGTGATCTTAAAACTGGTTTGCGCTATCCATAAGCCGGTTTCTGGAGTCAGTGAGCCAATGACGGATCACTGATCACAATCTGGATCCGTGCGAAACAAACAGGCCATAGAACGATGTGCAGCCTAAAATGTCAAAAGCAAATAACAAAAGCGTTACAAACAATTTTTCAGCATAAATGGATCCAATTTTTCAGCATGTGGATTCAAAGAAATGTTTCAATAGCGCACACTTGAGCACCTGAGCTGACTACCCACACCAGACTTTGAAAGTAAAATGTCACCGTTTAAAGCATGGTGGAAATACACTACAATATTGACTTACATCTTGAAAAAATACTTAATTATGTAACAGCTGCACCATCATTATTTGGATCGTTGGCCCACAAGGCGGGGAAAAAGGAGATTGATCGGTCTGGTTAATGGTGCGTTGTGGATATTAACGGAAATGATTAGAGCAATGATTCAGAATGTTTGTGGATTGAATCCCAGAGTGAGCATTTTCTCATTTCCTTCGTCTGTTTTCTATTGATAACGGTTACTTTTGAAAGGATCATATTTAATTAACTACCCAATTTGTAGTCATTCTATTAAAAAAACGTTCGCTTCAACACGTTATCAAATAAATCGTATTTATCAACGTTCGTTTTATATAAAATATTCCCGGCAAGCTTTGAACTTTGTTTATCAACAACAGCAGTTAGTCGTATCGGGCGCAATAGTGGATTCTTGACTGCTCAAATAGTCCCCACGGATTTAGGCTTTAATGTCATCGTTACATGCCATTTTGCCTGATCAAGTTTTAAGCTCAATGAAGAAGGCCCTCTTTGTCGTCGTGAGGCAGCCCGACTGCGACAGGTCCTCCTCCAACCTCCTGGGGGGAGGTTGTCATCTCCTGGGTCGGGGTTGCGCTGTAATTGGTCACGTACGGGGCTCCTGTAACGTACAGTATTAAAGGTATTAACAAAAAAACTGAAAATATTAAAATATAATGTTATATTATATTTGGGTGAAATTACGAGAAGTGGAGTTGTGGATGAGATTAATCGCAGGTCACTTCGTTAATCATATATGGCCCACATAATTTTCTTGTGCTACGCTAAAATGTGTTACATGTATACAGATCCAGTGGAACCCTGAGCGTCAATAGGATTTTTTCTGGGGGGGGTCCAAAGCATGAATCAGAATGAGAATTATTCCAGCAAACTGGGGATCTTCAAACCTTTCCATTTTCTTTTCACTTTCAATTTCATTTTTAGCCCGTTTTTGCCCTTGTACACCCCCACCCATCTATGTCTGGGCCTGTCACGCTCCTGTTGGCAATCAGCAGCCGTTATAAGTTCGGCTATCAATCCATTTCAGCTTTCATGATCATTACATTTTCATGCGTTACGGCTGGAGATTTTTATCATTTGTCTTGAATCAGGCCCACCTTGCATGGCTGCTTGCATCTGCAATGGTTGCTGCTGTGGTTGCTGCTGAGTGTTCATCGTTGTGGCCAACTGGATACCAGCCTGCTGATGTTGCGGTCCTTGCATGGCCGACATGGGCGCTTCCATGGTCGACATGGGCATAAACTGTACATGGGTTTGCTGGGGAACGTACTGAACCTGTAAGTATCGAATCCTAATAAATAATTAACCGGATAACGGAGTTCTGTTAGTGCCATCCGGCTCGTAGAGATCGTGACATATTCCCAGGACAACATGGAGGCAAAGTAAGTTTTTAACGTGCTATAATCTTGACAAGGTTTATCACCTGATGCACTGATCTCGCAAACAGGATCACGACATCTTGAGATACCTGAGGACGACACCCTGGAAGTATTGGGATATCTTCGCCCTTACGACCCCAAGAAAACGACATATAAGAACGACTTCGTCACCCCGAGACAAACAACACCAAACGTGCATTCTTCTGGGATAATGTGCCCTGCTATCCTGGCATGATTCAGGATCTTATCATGTATGGAAAGTCAAGATGGAGCCCCACCTCCAAAAGAGGTTGGCACTTGTGGGATTCTATCATTCCACCTTACTTTTAGGATGTTGTCAGTGCTACATAATTATACTGTGCCGTACACTCCCTTGGGAGGTGAAATGGTTAAAGGAATGTTTCTAGGGCTAGTAATAGGACATAATAATCATTTCCAGCTCTCTGAGCACCAGTCTTTAGTTCATATTAGATATTTTTAGGGAATACAAGAATATTAAGTACGTTCTTGTAACATTCCCGGACAAGTACTATGGCACTTCTATACCTCCGTACATTGGATTTCTTTTACCTGCCATACTTGGTCGTTTCAGGGACTGCGGGTAATTCGCAGTTTTTGACTCCTCAATAGATATTCATAAAAATCTTGGACAGATTAGCCAGTCCTATTGATAGAGATCCCCTCACGTGGATGGTCTTTAACGGCTGATAAGGACCTTTCTCGTGAATGCATATACAATATAAAGCGGTGTTTAGCAGCTAAACATAATTTTGCTATTCCTTTGCAAATATACTGAGATGCTAGACGTTAGATGTCCCATTCCGAAGTATGAAAGTCCAACGGCTTGGCACTATCCATTAAAACTCCAAACTTGTGTAACATTAAAACATGTTTCCGAAATGATAGCAGGAAAGTGTTTAGAAAATTGTTAAAACGAAACTCGTAAAAAAGGCCAATATTTGGAGCTGTCCTATAAAAATATTATCAACCGAAGGAGTTTGTTAACGCACCATGACAGGAGTGTAGGGATTGCAACATTGGCATACGCCATAGCAGGACAGAGAGGCAGTCACAACGCTGATGGTCAACTCAGCCAGGCCTACTATTCCCAACAACGCATCGATGGCCTGACGCAGTGTCTGCACACACAAATCCACAAATAACACCGAAAATATCAAAGTCTGGGTGTCATGAATAACGGAAAGTATTCTTCGTTCGACACTAAAACGTGTATGGTGTTAGATGTGTGAAATTCCATTGGTTTCGCCGGTATTATACACCATCTCAGCATCTGGAGCACTCGAGCGTTTAATGCTCAACGCCAAAGGCCAGTGTGTTGTATTTGAGTCCATCACAAGTCCCTGTAAGTCCATTCCAAGTAATTCAGTCTTAAGCCAATTCACAAGCTATTCAAATGAGCTGTGACAAAGGCATTTTGTGTCATTGATCACTGTGTTACTTACGACATGCCTTGTGAAAGGACTATTTAAAAGATGGATTTGCACCGGGGAGATGTAAATTAATTTTGGACATTTTTTGCCCTGCCCGACGTGTATTTTAACACTGTATACACAGTGTATGCCCCCAAGTCTAGCATTTTTCACTATAGTGCCTATCAAGCTCTCGCCTGTAAGAATATCATTTTTAAATAAGATATTTTCACGATTCTTTACCCTTATTACTGTAAACCAGTTTCAATCAGCATTTTCTTTGTTACCATTCTCTTTTACACGCCAAGTGTAACATTCTCGTTAAATCATATTTGTTTATTTGTTCCTAATATCAGTGTGTCCTTGTTTCATGTAATTCAAGCTTTAGAATAATTGCCATTCTTAAATAGTTTGGAGTTTTTCGGATCGTAACCCGTGGGTCAACGGCATTTCGGTCAAGAACTCTGCTTTGGTGTAATCAAAGATTCCTGCAGCTTCCTCTCCAAGTTTTTTTGTTTACAAAACTGATGTGATAATTAATTGTGCAATATACCATGTGGAAACCACAATAATAGTTGTAATCGAGGCCACGCGGGTACGGGTGACAGTAGTAATAGAACTCTACAGGGGCGGCAATAACAGAAGCAACCATCAGCTGGAAGGCCACAATCGAGGATAGTATCGACATCACCATGAAGGCTATGACCTGAAATAAAACGCAGTAACAAATGCTTACCGTGAAGGGAATAAGTTAAGAAAGTCATATGTCACGTCACTTGTCATTTTCTATAACTGCTTTTCAAAGATTAAACAAACGGAAACAAAACGAAAAAAATATTAAGAAAACGCTCATTCATACTTGGAAATGCTAGCGTCAAAAGACACCGTTCGTTTCAATTTCTTGCGATGTCACTTATGTAGTCATAGCAAAAACGTCTCTGCCATTTCTCACACAAAAGGATTTTCAAATCCTTCGATCGTACTATCCGCCCAAACTTTCCCGAATTCTATGAAAACGTTACTGGTTAGCTTACATATGGGGCCTGTGTACTTCAAATGTTGTCATTTTAATTAAACGAATCAGCTCTGATCTTACCAGGCCTCTTTTGCTGTTTTGTTTCCGTGTAGCCAAGCCCAGAATGCCAGTCACGAGGAAAAACTGATGAAAAATGGGACGAAATCGGCAACAAATAATGTTGATTTCTCACTACCATAATTCCCCTTACCACAAACGCAAGAATATTATGATCTTTTCAAGTTTAATTTTTGACTGAAGCGCCCTGTTTATATGCAAGGTTTAGCACAATTGGACGGTCTAGGACGCTTGGTGGTAACAAACACACCGGTCTTTTTTTTGCCAGCTCTGAGCATGCGCACATTGTTCTGAGCACGTGCGCGTAATTCTGAGTACGGGCAATACCCCAAAACTGTAAGGACCGGTATGTCTGCTGCCACCAGCGCCTGAAAGTCTCCCGATGAAATGTATCCCCCATTTTGGGACCGTTTTCAGAAGTGTCCTTTTCCATGAGTGCCTTTTACAAACCTGGCTCAAGCGTCAGCTACGAAGAGCGCCATCTATTGTTTATTGTACGATGATGACTGATTTACTGCCATAAAAGTAAAGTCGAGCCCGCCCCTTGTCCGTTATAAGAAAGGTCAATGAAATAACCTGTCTAAACCTTTTATCGTGGATGCAAAATTAACGTCTCCGATACACTGCAACACCACTGAACGCCATAGCGGCGACGAAACTATTATCAATAGCTTCAGCAATTTGGTGTTTGCTGGCAATCTCTGACAATTCAGGAAATCTTCACTCACCAAAATTCCACTCCAGATTCCCCATCCAGCGTAAGAAAAATTGCATTCAAATACTACGGCAAGGATCCCAAAGATGATACTCAGAACCGCCAGCACGATGTGGACCACTGAAAATCCCTTCAGTCCGGGCACTTTCTTACGAGGCGCGCTGGGCTGAATTTCCCCGGCGCTGGAGCTCATCACTACAGCAGGCTGACCAGTTGGGTTCATGGTAATGATGATCTGTAGTGAATGTTTCATTATAGAATGAGAAAGAAGCGTCGGATGCATGTGTCAATACTTTAACTTAAAGCTATAAAGGTTCGATGGGTCCATGCCTTGATATTCCTAATACATGTACTCCTTTTTGTGGACTTTCTCAAAAGTAACTCTACTTAGACTTATTCTTTATTAGCACTCGACAATTAGTGGACCATTATAAACTTTTGGTTCCCATGATGAGTCTTAATTGCTAGTTCTTAGATGTATTACTGATTCCTTTAAGTTGCATATTTGAACACCTATACACCAATTCCAGGTACTGTACCAAGTGTTTTGTTTCTGCCAATAGGGCACCTGTCCTTGCGAAAGCCGCATGCATACTCTAATTGTACTGACATTCAGTAAAGGAAGTTTCTTGGTGTAGAAGTTAAATAGATCATTATTCCGAAACATTACTCATTCGCAGTCAGATTTCTGAGAACCAAACAATTTTCCTATCTGAAGTTTTCTTAATGCAATCGCATCCTGGTTTTCACTGTACATTCCAAAAAAGGTGTAGATGACCATGCCAACACTTTTCACCGGTGTTGAAATGTTTGTGTCATTTGAACACTGATGGTGTTACTTTTAATACCCTCCAGTGCCTTGTAACACTTGTAGGTGAGTAAAGTAACACCAGCGGTGTTAAAGCAACATATTTTTATGTAATCATCAGATAACACCAAACTTTGTTATTTTTACCACCGGAGTGTTTGCAGTGTATTGGCCCATCTGATGGGTAGTTTGTCATAAGGGCCAGAGAAAGTGTTTTTTCCAACATCTTATAGTTCAATCTATTCAGTCTTCTGTGAAATGAAGTCATTCTTCCGTCTTTGAGATGCAGCCGTCAGATCACTCGCTGGGTTCTGTCACAACCTTCTAAGTTGTTGCTGAAAATACACTGTCAAGATTAGTTTGGACTGCCTTCACGACAACGAAATTCAACGTGTCTCCATAACTTAGTGTCACATCTATAGATGCTTCTGTAATGTATAAAAACTGTTGACATCCAGTTGAGGTTACGTACTGGAAAGTGCTCAATATTAACATTATTATCTATTCTATGCCTGTCAGCTGAGGGCTCTACTGCCGCAAAGTCATCAGTCCTTCCATTTATATGGTTTTCCTGTTCAAATGTGAACCCAAATCTGCTCATTGAAAGCCTTCTTTTGGGAGAATCAAAAACTGTTTCCCTGGCTTATTTTCATGTGCTTAAGCGGCAAGTCACATGCCCAAAAAACGAAATTGAGGACAGCTAAATATCAACATTTAAAGTTGAAGGAAATTGGTTTATTTACGGCAATGGGTGGCTGGGTTGGGTAAACATAAACAGGTACATTTGCAAGGTTTGCAGTACAAAACGCATTGCATAAACCCTTTAAAGCCTGTCAAATGAGTAAAGGCTCCGTTAGACAAAAAAAGAAACAGAAAAAGTCAAGAAAATTCTTCAACTCCAGCGACACAATTCATCCTCTTTATGAAAAGAAAGCTGCCCCCTTCCTGAAAAATAAAACGGAGGAGATATTATTTTATGTTTACCTACGGCCTTGTACAAGCTAGAAATGAGCTCAGTTACCCGTGCCTGCGCACTGTAACGACAACACCTGGCCGGTCAATGTATGGTTGCTTAATTCAGGCCTTACCACATCACTAGTATTATAGTCACACATTGCAACAATACACGAAGAAATGCTAATTATAGCACGGTTGAGGAAAATGCGAAGGGTCCAACATCACAGTGTTTTCGAGCAGTTAATCTGGAGGAATATTTCTTCCCAATAAATATGAGACACCCACAATTTCCTACAGTAATCTTGGTCTAAGACGTCAGCGAGTGATTGATAATTATTTTCGTCAATGCCGTAGAGCAGCCTTACACAACTGTGTCTGATTTTCCGTCATTGACGTCTTGGGAATCTCGTAGAAATGGACGTGGCCGAAATACAATCAGATCAATGGTGCAAATACACTACTCAAAAAAGTTAAAGACTACTTTTTTCTTAACTTGTATTTTTTTTCCAAGCAAATGAGTGGGGTCTAGTTCTTCCATTGTTTGTCTTTCCGGATGGTTTTCTCGTTGGAATAAAAAAATTAAAAATGTTTCAAAACATCAATTACACATTTCCAGCAGTAAAATATCTCATATAAAAAGTATACACAAAATAAAAAGTGGTCCTTGACTTGTTTGAGTAGTGTATTAACATGTCGTTACAAAAGACGGCTTGCCATTCGAAATCGGTATCTGTGCGCAGGGGTATCACTGCGTTGCATAACTAATTAGTATGCTTGAACGTCACACTTCACAGTTGAGTGTTGCATGCAGCACTTATGCTTACAACCGTCGTGCGACTGACAGTGAACCATTTTGGGATCGCTGATTGTTTCCCTCGGAATACCCCACGGAGAAATAAAGAAAAATTTAAACCGCTACTGTTAGATTCCCAAAACTTTAAAACTTTGGTTAGTGCGAGCAAACGCGCTAGTCTTTTTACTGAGTCGCTAGAGGGTGCACTACGCCGGATCTGTTATTGAATACCTAGTGTCTTGAGGCCAAGACTATCCTACGGGGGGGGCCAATCTCAGGGGTCTTATAAGGAAAATTTGCGGGTCCTCACTTCGTCATGTTCATGTACATCTATCCTTCAGCATGATTTTATGATGTATACAACGATGCAATCAAATGACGATGCACCTTTGTCTTAGTTAAAGGAATTGGACTCGTGAACTAACTTAGCACCTGGGATATAAAGTTCAATCCAGCAAAATGTTAAGTGATTGGTAGGTCTCCTCTAAAAGGGATCCTGGTCTTCCATCATACACCATATTGGGGGGGGGGCGTGGTTGCCTCGATGCAATGTCTAAGGGCAATCATCTTTATATTTGAGTGCGGAGATAGATATTCCAACCTAATACGCTGCTGGGAAAGCAACCAAGATCTTGAGCTTCACGACAGAAATTTTAGTTTAGTAACAAAAGATCTCCATGCGCAATTATACAAAACGGTTATTCGGACGTACCAGACCACACTTGCAATTTGCTTCTGCATCATGGTATCAAATGTAAATCAACTTGAAGAAAGGCTCAAGACACTCCGAGAAATTGACGGGCAGCTAGGTTTATCACAGGTAACTGCAGGAAAACAGCAAAGTGTCACACGCTTGGTCAACCAGCTGGGATTGTCCTCCATGCATCGAGGAAATGCAACGCCGCGACCCGCCTCATCACCGAACAAGATCCTCGAGCCATCAACAAAAGTGACTACTACTAGAAACCCAGTTGCTGGACAGGGTCACAACAGACATGCTATATGCCCAGATAAGTACATAAATCATACAACGGTCTTCCTTCTCCGGATAAAGTGACATGTGGATTGCATTGATCCATTCGTCTGCATGTGTAGCACTTCATTCAATTGTAAAACATAAATCAACACAGGTAACAGGTTTTTGGCAGCACAACACCCTCATCAAGCCTTCCAAGTACCATTGGGATGTGTCCGTCATTGGAGTACATTCAATCGCACTTTGCCTAAGCAAACTACTTACAATGAAAGGTATGGGGTATGCCAATATCGTACCGGCGTACGTACGGCGGTTGAAATTTGAACGTGCCCAAAATGAACGTGCTTTCCACATTGATGCACATGTACAGGTACCGTACAAAATACGCAGGTCCGTTCAGTGCATGTGAGAACCGAAAGAGCCTGCTGTCCCCTGAGACCTCTTGTGCTAGGCAGATCAGTGACATGGCTGACCCTAGTCTTAAAAAAAAACAACCGTCTGTTAGCCGTGTTTCCAGTCGCGCAGAATCATTGATAACCCTATTTGCAGAAAGGTGTTAACTTTATAAAACTAGTTAACAACTTTCTCCAGTGGTCTAATGTACAAAAAGAAAGAAAATTGATGGAGCCGGAAATTTATAATAGACCAATCAGACAAGGATTAGTAGTTCAGCGCAAACGGAATGCCACGGAATTTTATCACACAATGTGCTAGTTCTCGGATACTTTTTCCTCAACACAATTTTGAATTTGAAAAATTCGTTGCACGAACTTACTGAGAATGAAAGAGATGACGCTGCATTGCCCAGGGTGAAGAGTCATAGAAACCGGCAGGCTTTGTAGTAAAATCTACCAGTTTTAATTCACCACGTATGAAAAAACATAATTTTCTTGATCTAACTTTATGCTAGAAATCGCATGTACTCACTTGAGGTTGGAGTCACTCGATGACATTCGACAATGCTCAGTCGCCGGGCATTAGTACACTGCTCAAGATCGCAACCGCTGAACCAGCGAACACGTATACATGTAAATGTACACGGCGCTGTACGTACTGTTCATGTACAGTACATGGAGGTGTAGTCACCACCGCACCACGCTTTGTCGACGCCCCGCCGGTTTCCAAGTAGACTTGATGACAAGTCGTTAGACGGACGTGTTCTGTCTCTGTATGAACTTCAGTCGAAACCACCGGCGCGGCTGTAGTATTATGTAGCGTGACTAGCATATACTTGCTACCAACCTGACAAATAATTCTTGCACTGTTATTCATAAATTTGAACAGCACTCTACATTTGCAATACTTTCTGTAGTGACCTTGTTTGCTTGCAAACATTGACCAGAGGCTGGATGCCAAAGCAACAATTTCTGCCTAAAAAATCACGTTTTGCATTATTGGTATTGAATTAGATTTCGGGAGTTTTCCACACAAAGGGACAGGCGTTCGGTTGTTTGTGGCCGCTAGTCGAAGCTATTTAATTTTTTGTCCTTTACGCGCAAAATTGGTTTAGGCTTTTAAGGTCTTCCAATCTTCATACGTAGACCAATAATATATTTAAAGGCAATAAGCAGGGGTTTTTGAGAGGGAAAATTGGAGAGGATTGTAGTATTGATGTTGATAGTTGTTTTTTTAATATAAACATACACATTAGAAATATTAACACGTGTAGATGTTTGCTGTGCGTTGTGGAGCAAGCAAATCGTACGACCCTTGAGGTTTTTGGTCACCGAAATATAAATTATATTAATTTATAAGCTGTAAATTCTGAGAGTTCATAGACGCAAATAAACCTTGTATTCCTTTTTAATGTATGAAAACTCTTTTACTTTCCTAGTTGGTTAAATGAATTGAAAATGGCATGTTTTTAAACAATTAAAATTATCCACGCTTTCCCAGACAACCGAGGGCGCTTTATAGTCGAGTCATTTTAGGGAAGACATGGTCAATGCACCGGTGTTTCTGTTCAAACAGTGAACTCAGCATTTATTAACTGAAAACATTCTAAGAAATCAATTAATGCTTTCTGATTGCTATGCACGTAAACAATGAATCAGCAAAGAAAAGAAAACTGAGCCCAGGAAAATCTACGAACTTAATGCTGGACTTTTTTGTGTACAAACCAATGTATCATTGAGGCTTCTTCCTGAGATGAAATCACAGTTTTACTCATGAGTACATGAGAATCTAACTAGCATTAAACCCAAAAAGGTGGAAAAATACCCTTTGAAATAGTGAAACCAAAGTTGAAAATGAAGTTTATTGACTGAGACACAAGGTGCACCAGCTTGGGAAGTTTGCATTCAAAAAATTGATTGCAGCTACGTTTGGCGAAGTAGAAGCTTGTTCCCTGAGCCACGCACATGAATGCGCTAACGGAGTGCCGACCCATGTTATTGATCAAAATTCTTTGGCTGGGCCAAATGATGGACACTAATGCTTCCCGACAAAAACAGTGGGCCACTTAGCGACCCTTAAATTCAGTCTTTGGACGAGTTTGCTGTTGGAGTGCCGGGACGGTGTTCCCAGAGGCCACACTCAAAACGCAAAACGAATGTTTTGTGCCACTCCCTCCCTAATTGTGAGAAAACTTTCCAGCATCGGTGAAAGGAACACTCTTTAACCCTATACGTGGAGGCTTCGATGTTATAACTTGTGGACGTCGAATTTAAAAGAAATTACAGCCACATGCAATAATCTCACATGTAACCCTACCTCTCAACTGTTCATGCTGAACAACCTGGTTTGGTCAATTTTAACGTCGGGGCTTCCCCTCGGGGGAAACCCTTGCGCCGACCTCTGGAAAGTTCCATCGAACCTTGTATGAAGAACATGGCACGTTCCCCATGGGATTATTTACAAAGACGGCGCTTGGGAAAGCGAGGGCCTGTCATTTATCAATGTCAGCGACCTGGAAAAAGGGTTTTGGGTCTCTGATCTTTTGAGACACGTCTGGGTTGTTTCATCGTAGATTGTGGCTTGGCCGTGTGGCTCGGCCCTTGTAGTCCCCTCCCAAATCCAGGACTGGTAAAAGGTACTCAGACCTTTTTCTGCGGTTTTAATGGTTGCAGGAGCTACATGACACCCACTTATAAATTTGAATGCCATTCTAAGGGAATGGGGGGTATACACCACAATAACCATGACTGGCGTCCACAGGTAACGTTGGTGACGCAAGAATGTACAAAATACCCCCTCCCCCAACGCGCCGTCGGGGTTAACACTGTTTTTGACAAATGAAGGCGATGATGCTGCTAATGTCAGACGAGGAAACTGCTCGTTTCAAGGTTTTCTTATGATTGAAGTGCAAATCAAAAGTTTGTCATTGAAAACGTTTGTCTAAAAGCTCCATGTCATGGCCTAATGCAACGAATTACCCGGAAACCAATCCGCCTCGAGCAGAAGTACACCCCTCCCCGCATCGGCCAAACAAGAGGCACGTTGGTCGGCAGTGTTCTATTTGTTGCTTGCAAGGCGACTGTGACGAGTGCATTTCCTAGTCGTTCCTGAACCAGCGAAGTTCAGTTCCGACCAGACGAACATGCATTGCTCAAAAATTAGCGCCCTCTCTTCGTCCGGCTCGAGGCTCATAAAGTAAACAAAATTTACGAAAGCAAAACAGAAAAAAAAATCCCCTAAATGGGCAAAATTTAGTGGAGAAATTGCTCTAAACAGCACTTAGAACAGTTTTCTACTTTGGATAACTGCGATTTTTTGCACATAAAATCATGCAAATTGCGTGTGCAAAACACAAAAAGGTACCAAAATGCCTTTGACATGACACAACAAAAGGTGAAATTAGCCTGAGTTTGAATGGAACTCACAATGAGCATTTCCAAAAAGTGCCTTCAAATTTACGTAACTCACTAACTGGACCCTTTATCCTAAAAATGCTCAACCTGACATCATTGACCAAACAATACACAAACTAAGGCCAACTATTACGGAATCCTGGCCATAGAAGTCAAATTAAAGTTTTAAACTTGGCTTTCAAAGTTCCAGGTCTTAGAAATATTCAGAAAGGGCTTACCCATTCCACCTTTATAAATCTCAAGAATAATCATTTCTACAGCGAATCAACATCAGCAGCATTTACATTCCTTAAATAAGCAATACATGCATACATCTTTGTGCATGGTTTAATGTACGCCATTGTTCAATATATGTTGAAAACAATGATACTATCTTTATTTGACATAAGTATTGCTATTAACACAAAGCAGCTTGTTAAAACTGGAATCAATATCATTGGCTTATCTACAGAGTCAGCTTTTTACACGCGTAAAACTGGGTGATATTACAAGATCCCGACCCCCCCCCCAAAAAAAGCACAACAATGTGTTAGACAAAGCCCCACTTCCGCATAAATTGTGCAAACCCGTTTAGGCCAAGTCACTATCAATCTTGGTACATCACATCAGTTTCTTTGCGTTCAGTGACGGGATGTAATTGAGTGAGTTTCGGAAAGTCCGTATTGATGACACGAAGGAATCCTGCACTTCCCCTTTTGTCAAGAAACTGTGTCCTCTGCTCCCTGCAAAGGTTAAAAGAAAACAAAACTTAGTTATATATTCCTATATACATCTGTCATTCTTACAAAAGAGGTGAAATGTCGGTAACAATCAAGTCGCATGTTCCTTAGTATTGTTACTCAACCATCCATCTTCCACCAGTGTTGTAGTCGAGACCATCACAAGACTAGACACAAGACCATGCACTAGGTCAGTCACAGGTAACAGGTTGAACAATGACAAAGGAATGCTGTTGTTGCAGTTCATTTGAATAGCTCAATTGTCACTTGTGCTGGGCTTGCGTAGTGCGAGGTCTTACGTGGTCTCGGCTACAACACAGTCTTCCACAACATGAATGTTTTACGTCAGAACAGAGATGGACTCTGGCGAATTCTTTTACGTAATTCCAAATGCCAGTGAAAAGAAAATCCCCAATTTTAGCATATCAATACCTATAATGCCCTGGATCATTCTCGCCCTACACTGCACTAGGCACTTCGGATGCTGCTTGCTGTTGCTGCATGGTCGTCATTGGCGCAGCCTGTTCATTGTCTGGTTGGGACATGTACTGCACCTATCAATGAAACGTACACTACACCAGATTGACAATGTTTGTTTTATTGATAATTTGAAAATCTGTTTGGTAAGGAAGCAAATCCAAAATTCGAGACAGTGATTTCTGGATCTTCCTCAGCAGCATAGAGAGTCGGAAGCTCTAACGATAACTATCAACAAAACCGACGAACCACGCCATTTCTTATAATGTACAGTTTTCTATACTAAAAGTATGGTTTACAAACCATGACTGGGGAGTAAGAGCGGCAACATCCGCACATGCCATAGCAGGAGAGCGTGGCAGTCAGGATGCCAAGGACCATCTCTCCCAGGCCGAGAACTGCCAACGACGCATCAATTGCCAGGCGGGTTGTCTGCCAGTAAACAAGATCGTGCCAAGTCAAGGCAAAACAAAATTAATATCAAAAACAAAGCTCTTAAAGATATGATGGGCCAAAATAAAATTAAAAAGTCTCCGGTTTTTGGTCAGCGCGCACGTCGTCGTAGACCTGCGCGTCGGCAAAAATTTTTTTTTATTTGGCATATTTACGATGTCCAAAATCTGCCGAACTTGCTTGATCGACTGGAATCTTGCTATACTCACTAATTTAACGTGTAATACAAAACTGCTGCAAACTGCTTGCTGACTACAATGACCTAAAATACAAATCTCAAAATATGGAGGGCCTGACATTTTGATCCTAGCAGAATCTTTCTCAAAGGCAAAATGACAAGTGGACAGGACAAACAAGCAAACAGAGAATCAACCAAGCATGGATGAATGCAAGAGGACAAAAGGAAAGATCAAGAAAGCTGCAGGCTAGATACACTATAAAAACTTCCGGGTCAGATTGACCCAGAATTGGGTCCCATTCGGTATAACCCTTTTCTGGGTCAAAATATGACCCCCTTTCGGGTTATATTTCACCCTTTTGGGGTCATATTTGACCCTTTCTGGGTCCTGATTTGACCCAGAAAAGGATTATACCGGATGGGACCCAATTCTGGGTCAATCTGAAGTTTTTAGAGTGTAAAGGGGCAAAGGATAAAGGGGAGTGCATGAAAGGCATGGATGAACAACAGAGGCATGTACATGTAAGGTGGGAAGAGATCAAAGAAAAAAAAATAATGGATGGAACTGGACCCTAAGTGGGAGGGGGTATAATCTGCAGACAAAAGAGAGGGAAAGAAAAGAGGGTTAATGAGTAATTTCCCTCTTGGATGTTCAGGCCATGGGGTTGAATGGTGCGGAGGCATTTGATCCAAAGCTTCTCCCTGTTGAAGCGAACAGCATCTTTACGGAACCCAAGTGAGTCTATGCCCTGTAAGATCATGTTAGACATAGAATGGTTAGGAAGGTTGAAGTGGTGGCCTTCAGGGGTATCTAGTCGTTTGGTGTTGACCGTGGATCTGTGGCCATAGAAACGCTTCTTGAGAGTGTTCTTAGTCTCTCCAACATACTGAACACTGCACACCCTGCAAGAGATAAGATAATAGAGCTACAAGTGATAGTGCCTTGAGTGTCCAGAGAATGTATCTGATTCCAGCACATGGTTCTGGCAAACAACACATCGGTTAGAATCATACTTGAGCGTGCCTTGCTGGCGGGGGGAAAGGGTATCAAATGATGGGATGGCACTGGCTAGGCAGTCTGAAGTGTGGAGGATATGATGATTGTCGTAGTTTTATTGCGGAGGGGAGGAAGACGAGGATGGAAAGTGGTGACCAAGGGAACCGGGGGGTTGTTGTTTCTTCACAGGAGGTCTTCTCTTTGAGTGCAAGACTTCTAGGGACGGAGTGGGCCATATTGATAGAGCGTTGAACCTGGTTACAGGTGCGCCCCCTTGCAATCAAATGCCTCCTCTGTTCCTGTGTGACGGGAGAAATCTGAATCATTAGAACAAATGCGTCTCAGCATGAGTGCTTGGCTGTCAGCAATACCAGTCTGGCAGTGTCTAGGGTGACAGCTGGACGAGTGAAGATACTGATGGGTATCTTTGGGCTGGGAATACAGGTCAGTAGTCACGAGGTTGTGGGCTTCTGTTTAACGTGTTTTAGATGGGGCACGGTTGAGTAATACGTAAAGTGAAAGAGTCTTTCTGGGCCCCCATACATTTAGTCGGATAACGTCATTTTCTGTATTATACAGTTACATTAGGAACCAGACAAACAAGGTAGTCTTATGTCCTTTGTTCATCTACTAGCTGATAACGCTTTTAAACAGTAAATAGTTAGTGGACCAGTCTATTTCAGTGTTGACGGTGGTACGTAGGCACGTAATCAAGATGGACATCGCGCGTTTTACGAACATCATTAATAGGAAGAAACGTGGGGGGAAAAAGCCTTATAGCCGCACCACTTATGGAGCCCGCCCCTGACCAGAAACCGGAGATCTTTTGGGCCATAATTACAATATAATAGTATTAAACTATACCATGTGAGCGGTATCATAATAGCAGCGAGGTATTTTTCTAAACACTCCGTGAATTGTTAGAATTTTATCGTTATGTGCGCACGGTTTGGCCAGCCGCAAAAGTTGCTACTGCAGATGGGTCTATCATCGTTAATTTCAACATGAAACGTGTCACCCCTGCCGATACCCCTTGGGGAAGCCCGTACTTATCAATAAACCAGCCGAGCTAGGACAGAGAACGAGCACGTGAATTGGTTATAGGAGGTAGCAGGGGGAGATGGGTTCGAATCCCTCTTGAGAGATCAAGTCGTTCAAAGGCCCGATCATAAGTTGTCCTAGAACACTTATAAACCCCCTTCTTGAAGGGCAGAAGTTATAGAGCAGAGAATTCATTTCAGGAGGCTGCGGTGGGATAACTTTTCTTTTTTGATATGTCAATCAGGGTAGCCGAGAGGATATATGCTTACCGGGGGAAAGTGACAGGTTGAATAGAAATAGAAGGTGGAGGGGTTGCAGTATGATGACTCCCAGGCAGCAAAAATGATAGAAGTAGTCATCAATATGAATGCTACGATGGCAGATACGACGGACATCGCCAAGAATGCAATGGCCTGAAATGAGAGCAAAAGCAGACAGGAATGACAAATGCTGGCAGTACAGACCAAGTATTATGACCGTTGGACTGTCACGCTTTGTGATTCGCAGGTTCGAGTCCGGCCTATAGGGTCATGGTGCGTGTGCCCTAGGGCAAGGCACCTTGGTTTCTACCCAGGAGCAATTGGGTACCCCATGAGGGGCAGAGATGGTCATTGAGGTTGATCATAAATAGCTGCTTTGTGCCAAAAATGGCAGCACCGAGCTGTGCACTCCCCAAGGAGCTGAGATGGTATTTGGAATGTTTCCTGGGTCTGGTGAGCAGGGGTAATAATAATGTGCAGCGCTTGGATTCATGTTAAAGGCGTTTTATAAATACCTATATATTTACAAATAGGTCATTTTGGAGACATTTTGTGGTAAATTTCTCAGCATTAGGGAGACATTGGCTTTTAGACTGTTTTTAGGCTATTTCAGAGGCCGAATTTTACTGTAAAAATTTGGAGAGATGATAGATTAGGGTCTAAAATGAAAACATACAAAGTTTGGTTTTGAGCAGATTAGGGAGTATTGAATTATGGTTGTAATCAAGTTGTAATTTAAAAAAAGTAACCCCCAGTCCTAGATGGAAATTGATTATTTCTTACCACTCCTCTGGTGTACTTTCGGCCCGGTGTAATCACGCCCAGAATGCCGGTCACCACAAAAAACTGACAAAACAAAGTGGCAATTTGGGTACATAAATGTGCATTCTTCTGCTCTGTTATGATGCAATGAGCAATATATCTACGATGATCATATCCGTATGAAAGCAAACTTAATCATCAAACCATATTATACTCTTTCATCATGTCATTTAAGCAGGAAATTTGATCCAAAAGACGGGTGACGTGTCCACTTAAACATATTTTTGCCCTGTAGATCAAAATGCACGGTGAAATTGAACCAGCTCTGTAAAAATATAAATAGCAATAAAACGAATGACGCCTTCATTCGTAGTTTTACATGAAGAAAATCTGAAACGGTGTCCTGACGATGGAAGAAACTGTGAATTGTGATTTTTCAACACATGGTGCTCATCCACACACTTCATATACATCTACCTGCTGTTGACAGAACTCACCAAAAGTCCGCTCCAAAGACCCCATCCAACAAAGGAGTAATTGCACTCAAGTATTATGGCAACCAATCCAAAGAGAACACAGAGGATGCCCACCACAATGTGAGCTACCGACAGCCCCCTCAGGGCGGCAACTGCTGCGCGCGGCTTGTTGGGTTGAAATTCCATAGGGCCGTAGCTCGTCATCGGCTGCAGACCAGCCTGCAAGGTGATTTGGCCCGTCTGACCGGCTGAGCTCATGGTGATCAGCTGTCAGGGTGGATGTTTAACCGAGGAATGACCAATTATCCAATAGAAAGCAGAAAAAATAAATAGAAATTAATAGACCTGCCCACTACCCAAACTAGTAAACAAAACACCTTGATCCCCACCCGAGAGGCCTGCGTTAATCTTTCATGACATGAAATGTCGCTAACACTTGAAGGTGTATGAAGTGACACCATCGGCGTTAAAGGAATGGTTAAAGTAACATATTTTGGTGGTCATCTGATATAACACCAAAAAGTGTAGTTTTAACACCAGATATTTTGCAGTGAACGTACTTGTGGTAGAAATTAATAATATAATATTCAGTTCAGGCAACAGCGCACTAAACAAGTCACCATGTGCAGACCTCTAAAAAGGGTCATTTTCACTTCTTTTCCGACAAGGATGCAATCACTCCGCAACATCTCTGTCTGTAGGCCTAGATAGGTCGGTTATGTCAATGAATTTCATCGCAGCAAAACCGTTTACAAAGAAAGTATTATACGTACAGGCTTTGAATTAAGTCATGAAAACTTCGGAGTTTAGGTGACATAACCTACAATAAAGATATATACATGCATGTGTGTACTCACGTGAAGGCGCAGTGTATGAAGAATAGAGGATGACTTCTACAGGAGACCGTACTCCCACGCAGACATAAATTCAACCATCCGCAGCTACCAGCGTCTGAAATTATCATTCACGCATGTTGTTTGCTATGCTAGCTAGATCAGTGTCCCACGTAGAAAACCAAACTGTCGAACTTAAATGTAGGTCATCAAAGTTCAGACAACCAGCTTGCCGGAGTCAGTTACCTGACACCAGCATACCGTGCCTACCCCAAACATTCGTGATCTCCAGAGTAAACTTGGTCTCAGTCCATCCACTATCTCGAGATAAAGCTCCATCGTGCAAGTATCTAACACCGTGACCACTATTCTACGTTGGCTGATCTCCGCCTGGAATACATTTTTTTAATTTTACGGCGTTATAACGCCCTAATACGGTGTTGTAACGCCTATAATGCTCTAGTTTAAGGCGTAATCCCTATTTTAAGGCGTAATAACGCCCTATTATGGCGTTATATAACGTCTTAGTACGACGTAATCACGCTGTACGGCGTCCACGCAATAACACACGTGGCTCCGCTTGTGCGCATAGTTAGGCTACTGTTGCCATCCTTGGACGGTTCGAATCTTGCAAGGTATGTGATAAAAGCCCCTTTGTCTATACAGGTATAGTCCCGATGCTCAGTAATAACATGAACCTGGGCGGTAGATCGTATCTAATAGGGCGTTGGAACGCCTTAAATCAATTACGGCCCTATAACGCCGCAATAGGGCGTAATAACGCCGTAAAGGAGCGTTAAAACTCCGTAAAATAAAAAAAAGGTATTCTTGGAAGAGATCAGCCACCGTACTACTCCCAGGAGACCATTCAAACTTGCATTCACGCTCCACTCTGTAAATCATCCAGTCGTCTCTCTCAAATTTCAAACAAGCCTAAGCAGTTGGGTTTTTTTTTCGTTGTCGCATCCGGCATCTTTCATGCATGCGTGCAAACTCAAAGCTATTATCAACAGCTGGCGAAGTATGTTTATATAACCTATACCAGCTACGGAGCTGAGAGTAGGGGTTAACATTCACTTCGTTAGATCAGACTGGAAGAAGTAGGTTAGTCAGACTTGCTTCCAACGACGCTGTTTGTGCAAATCCATCTTCTACCTATGCAAACATATTTTAATTTTCTTCCTAATTGGTCATTCACTTTAGTTGTTTTGGTTAGATATTAGTTAGTTTAGTTAGGTATTCTTTAAAATAACTCTAAACAAGTTGATTTGGTTTGAACTTCACAATGTAGACGCTTGAGGATCCTGCAGGTCTGGTGCATGGTTAGGTCAGAGGGCATAATGCAACACAACGAACTGGGATCGACATAATCAATGACAGCTTGTGGGTTGGTGGAAATCTTGCACAAAGCAGAGCAATTACAGGCAAAACCTTGTTTTTCCTTTGGTTTTGGGATTAGAGAAGGAATCATCTAATTCAGAAACACGTCGACTTCTGGACTCGAACGTAAATCGTTTACTTTTGCAACACAGTGAAGACCCACCTTGTACACAGACCTATAATTTTGCTTCTTCAGAGTACATTTTTATTTGCATTATTCAGCGAGCGACATATAATCAAAATGTAATTTGGAAATTAAAGGGAACTAGGCTACACAGTGATCTTATTGTAGCGAACAAAAATTAAGAAGAGAAATAAAACAAAAAGCATGCACAGGCCTACATATATAGATGGAGCAGTTCAAAATTCAAATAAAGTTTAAAGACTTATAATTACATTGAGACGATAATTTTGAAATTTGAATATGCGTTTGTTTTTCTCTTTTATTGACAATAATTGCGTCAAAGTCGTATGTTGGATCATCATGATAGGGGCAAATTGATCAATTGACGCATAGATATATACAATGCATGGGTAATTTCCGTACTGTGAACACCTCATGCAGCAAAGCCAACAAAGTGGCGTTATTGTTTATTTTCCACAATCCTTCCTCGGAGTCTACCTTCATAGAGGCGGATGCCTATAGTAGGTTTCATGTCTGTGTTTAATTCTCACTTCCCCTAAACGTAATCCTGCTTTCAGTGATAATTATGAATTAAATATTTGAATAAAATACACTTTGAGCGCATCTTAGCTCTACTCACCGCGATACATACATGCATAGCCGGAGGAAAAATTATGCCAACCTGTTATTAGTAACTATATATACTGAAAGAATCAATCGGATATTTAAAAAGTAGCCACAACTGCTTATTCGAGCCGCACATTCAAACAAGGCAGTTTCTATGACAAGTAACAGTTTCCTTGGATGAGTGATGGATAATTTTCTGAAGAGTAACAAGTTGATCGCTTCCTTCATCCTGAGAAGACTCTCCATATTAGAGAAATCTCATCACGGGACCAATCGACAATGCCAGCTCATGGGCTTTATGGATAATGAGCGTAAAAGGAATCTTTGTCATTAACAAGTTGGGAAAATGACTTTCCTTTGGCCAGACACTCCCTGTATTTTTGGACAAGGTGCGTACATGGGGAGCTGTGGCGATTTTAAAGGGAAGCGGCAATCAATTTGTCCCAATACAAACCTTCAAAATGCAACTTTGTGTCTCAGTTAACCTGATTCTCACTTCTTTGTCACTATTATAAACGTACTGCCTTTTTGGTTTTTATGCTAATGATACTTCCATATTCATGAGCAAACTGTGATCTCATCCTAGGAAGAAAACCTTCATATGTTACGTTGGTTTGTACTTAAAGTCCTGCATCATGGTAGATTTTACCGGACTTATTTCTCTTCTTTGCTGATTCGTTGTTGTTGACGTGCATAACAAATGAGCATCAATCACTTTCTAACAAATGTTTTCATTCAGCAAATTCTGGGTTCACAAATACGAAAAGCCTATGCAATGAACAATGTTTTGGCTAGATGACATCACAGCGGCAGCGTCCTCATTTGTCCAGGAATACTTGAGTAAGTGTTTAAAAAGTGTTTTAAAAAGTGCACTTTTCCCGAGGATGTAACCAAATAGGAGTATAAATGAGTTTTCATACATTGAAGAAGAGTACAAAGTGTCCAAAAAGTCGTGTCTTGTAGAAAAATATATTGCGGCTACACTTTAAGGTTTGGGTGTAACGGAGGCATAGGATTTTTCTAAAACGAAGGTGTAAACACCTTCAATTCCTTTAACAAATAGCAACATGTTGGGGGGGGGGGGCTTGTCACCCTGCCCTCCGCTAAGGGGAGACGTAAGACCAGTCGAAACCACTGCCTATAGTCTTTCCAATTCCAAACGTGATGGGAGTGGGAACCAGCCCGACCTATGCTTAGACCGGACCATTATGACTAGTCGCTAAATGCACACCCGTAATACATTAATTCCCACTTGAACGGCCTCGTCCTTGCCATTTTGTGAACTCACATCGTCATTCGCACGTTCCCCCCATTCCTTCCAGATTCTCTGGTCACCATCTTGCGCCACTTTAAAAATGTTTTTTTCTTCTCTCGTCTTTACGTCATTTACGGAAAGGCCATAATCAGTCAGGAGTATTACCACATTATGGGCATATAGAGTGATCCTTCCCCGTGCCCCTACTGACTGTTTTAGTAGTCATCGAAAAATACAGTAATTTTCGTCTAACTTCAACGTTATATATCTTAAGTTGGCAACGATAAATTTCTTATCGATATCTTTAACGATGGTCTTTATGCTTGCATAGCCAATGAAATTTTGCAAACGGAACTTTTTGGTCGGTGTTTGTTGTTCCATATACATTGTATGCTCCTACGTTAAGAAAAGCACCTTGCATCATGGAAACACCCACGATCCTTTGCGGGCTGCTAGAACAGGCCTTGTGATTGGTCAGATTACACGAGGTTTGTGACGTATAGCCTGTCCAAATCGAGTAATACTCTGGACTGATAATCAGCAACGCAGTCGTGCCCTGGCCGGGGTCCGAAAGGCGAACTAAACTGGTTTAACCACAAACTTGTCTAACATATTTCTTCCCCATGATTGAAATTTGCATTCTCTCTTTTTATGTGGTAAACCGTCTGTCTCCAGGCATTCTGAAAAAAGTTCAACAAAGATCAAATTAACAGAAAATGGAGGTAGAATAATTCTTTTACGAGTTAGATTGATTAATATCTAGTACGCCGAGTTCTTTAAATTCACAACCTCTATAGGCCACATGTCCCCTCTCCCCAATCCCACTTTGAAATGGACAACATTGAGGATTTGTGCTAGCAATAAATCTTAGATTCTAATTCACACAACATAATTGATACATAACATTCGCGAGATTATAGTTACCTTACACTGCAGAAGGCGCCTGCGCTCCTTGCTGTTGCTGTGGTTGTATGATCGTCATTGGTACAAACTGTACATTATCTGGTTGGGCAACGTACTGCACCTGCACAGTAGTATTAAATATCGCAAACCTGTTAAGGTCCATTTATTGATACTGAAAAGTTTGTTTACATGCAAGCGTGAAACATTTTCAAAAGGGCTGCTTTCTATAGATGTCTGACATGAGCGACAACACGCATTTCTCGTCCATCACTATTGGTAACCGCCGTCGAAGTCATTATTCAAAGTTCGAAGTCATTATTGTCATTTCTGTTGACTAGTTCCTAGAACAATTGGGCATTTCAGCTCCTCAGCAATGAAATTCAAACAACGTTTGGTTCGTTATTGGGTTGACTTCTCTATTGGAGCCCACGGCGACTGAATCATTATGACCCGTGAATCAAGATCTATCCAGAACTTATAAAATTTTACTATACAAGAAATCAAGAGTCGGCTGGGTACCATAACCGGAGTGTAGGAGGAATGGCAGCATCTGAATGCGCCGTAGCAGGACAGAGATGCACTCAGAATGCTGATGGCCAATTCAGAGAACCCGACTACCACCAACAAAGAATCTATGGCTTTACGGGGTTCCTGTAAATAAATTCACAACATCGATTGTTAGGACGCACAGACAATGCATCGTTCTTTTAAATTAAGATGGTATCAAATGTAAAAGCTAAACAGTGTTCCGCCATGAAGGACAGAGGTATATGAAGCGGGGAAGAAGTGTTGAGATATTCGTCTGAGAATATTCCTTTGCCAATGATGGAAGAAAATGAAATGTGCCCATTTTACCGGGTGAATGACACACTCGAAATCCAGATGTATGCTGTCGGGATGGCAAAAGTGAGGGAACTCTCTCGCAGCAGCAACGGCAGATGCAATTATCAACTGGAAAGCTACAGCTCCACACACAATGGACATCACCAGGAAGGTAATAACCTGAAGAAAATCAGTCACCAATAGTAGAAGCAATAATAATCGATGGAAGTAATGTCAAGGGCAAATTCGAGCAACAACTGTACAGTTTAACTGCTTGTCAATCGCTTCTTACCAATGCGCACGTGCAATGCCGTCTCACTCAAACGTATCCTAGTCGAACCATTTTGAGAAAATCCATGGTAACTCAAATTTTGTCGTTGGTAATAACCCCTACGTCATCAACGTGGTTTTGTACAAATCAGTCTGATATGATTTTTGCTGCACATAACTACGAAATTTAAAAGGCCAGATCTTTGAGATCCTAAAATATTTGCAACGCGTCATGAGGTCTGGCTCCAAGGACCACCAAAGTGCAGAAGTGAGTATGTTGCGCGCACATTATGCATATAATGAAAGGGGCTATAAAGGGGAACAAACTACTCCCGTTTTTCATTTGCACTCATATAACGGAGATCAATGTTTGCCCTATATTTTCTGGTTCAAAATGACGTCACACTTTGGTACTCTATAGTTCATTCACCATCAATCGTTCGACTCTTTGCCTCGTTGCATCAACGATCTGATCTATTTCATGTAATTTTGAAGTTTATTGTACGCTCCAACGTTTATTGCACGTTTAGATTTCGTGTCATCATAAGCTGTGACTGTTTTGTAGAAGGCTTCTAGTAAGAGCCGATACTGTTGACGAACTTCGAGACACATAGGGTGGACAAGCCCTTTAGTACTCGAAAGATATCCTGAATGTACATCTTGAATTGTCGATGTGGTACCTTAGGAGAGAAGGACCAACTCTTAAGACCGGCTCGTACTTGGTGCGAAAGCGAACATAAACGCAAATTTGTGCCACCAGGGCCCAACGTCATGGCACTGCTTACGCAGAATTCCGCGCTTACGATCTCCATTCTGCGCTAGCCGCTCTACCGGAAAAATCTGCGGTAACCTTTAAAAGCACAGAATTCCTACTTATAGGATGTACGCATGTGCACCTGAGCCACAATTCCTCGCTAACCGCTAAAATACGTTCGCCATAAGCACAGAATTTCTACAACGGTAAGCGCTGATTTTTCGCTTGCGGTAAGCAGTGCCTATCGACATCCGGCCTAGATCATATATAATTCGCAAAAGTTGCACACATTTCAACTCGAGAAGCGAAACGTTGCTGCAATTATTATTTTCGTTACGTCGAAATCGATTCACTTTCAGATGCACCCAAAGGCCGGTTCGTACTGCAGGAGAATTTGACACCACGAACGGTTTGCAGCAAAGGTCGGCCGAGTTGAGATCAGTTCAACTTTTGCGAATTCGCGAATATTTGCCGTCACAAAATTGCATTTGTGTTCACCGGCATTAATTTCTGTCCCTAGCAAAAAAAGACAAATAGGCCGAAATCATATTTCCACAGTCCCTCACATCACCTTTTTCACTAAATGCTTGCTTAATATTCACAGGCGTTAAACAGCATGAATTTTCTTTGTAATTACATGTATTTTAGATTTTTTAAGAGGTAGCTCACCATGCGTCTTCTGTTGTTTCGAGCCAGTGTACACAATCCAAGAACGCCAGTCAGGATGAAAAACTAATTTAAAAATGAACCAAATCATAATAAAATTTCAACTTTACTGCTGAGTGTTTTGGGGTGAAAGTGGCAAAGAGTTTCCTTTAGAGAGCACCTTTCTTTCTACAGTTTTCAGTGGGTGCTATCACGGGGAATCTTTTGTCAAAATCTCATAGGCCGTGGAAGGCGAGGAAAGCGGACTTCACACGGGGAATTACCGACTTGATTTCAAGTCTAAGTCTTTGCCCGCAATCTGTGGCAATTGTTCACTCAAATTCTCAATATCCACACAGATCCGGTTTTCAAATTCTTTCCATTTCCATGACGTTAATTCGGTTTCTTTCCCTTTTTTTGCATCTAAAAGAATGATTAAATTAAACAGTAATCATACACACGTGCATGTTGCCCACATTGTTTACAAAGAGGTGTGCGTATTTCAGGGGAAATTTGACTACCCTGCACTGGCTGACAAGTTAAGCAAGTTAGGTTTGGGTCTATTATATGCCACTGATTAAAATGTCTCCATGGGTAGCAAAATCGTCCGGGGCAGAAATGTCACTCACCAAAACCCCACTCCAAATTCCGAATCCAATATATGAAAAATTGCAGCGAAGTGCTACGGCAACGATCCCGAAGATGACACTCAGAACTCCAAGCACGATGTGGACTACCGAAAGCACCTTTAGTCCGGGAACGTCCTTACTTGTCTTGTTCGGTTGAAATTCCCCAGGGCCAGCACTCGCCATGACCGGCTGCGGATCAGCCTGCTGCGTGGGCCTGTTAACTAGTTAGGATATCCACCGCTTCAATTAAAATGTTCGACATCTACGCAAACGTTGTTTGCGCCCAAGCGTGCCCAACATGTTCAAAATGTCTTTACCACTCATCGCACTGTAAAGGCACATGGCCTAAGCCAGGCGCTTTCCCCCAAGCGTATAATGTATCATAATATTGGACCGTTTCACTGATACAAACATGCACGTACTATACAAATACGTAACCACGGTGGAAAATAAATGTAAGCGGTCCACTGAAAACGTACTGGGGCAAACATTTGAATGTCTAGCATTTTCTCTGAAGTTTTTCACACTTCACAAAAATTCTTCTCGGTTCAACTGATCTACACTGCAGAATATCCCGACCCCCCCCCCTTAACCCTTCTTGACTCACAATTTTAAAAAGCAGTTAGCGCAAAAGAAGAAAAAGCAAACAGAAATTTTGGGTTTTTTTAGGGAGAGCAAAAAATATGTATATATTTTTTAATGTAACTTTAATTCTTTGGGGGTGAAGCTACATTTTGGGGCTTTTCACACGTTGGAAGGGGATCGATCATATATGTATACACCAATAAAACCTATGGCCTTTCCCACATTAAGGTTACAAAAAATGGGGGGGGGCATGGCCCTGTTGCTCCCCCCCCCCGGCCCCCGCCCCCAATCTGCCCTCGGACATCATCACCACCACCCTCACTGCGCTTGTGGAGGGTCAGAAAAACATAAACCCTACCAACAGCCCAATGTAAACACAGGAGCTTATGCATGTACACGGAAGTTGCGGCGTAGCGAAGGCATTTTTTGGGGGGGGTGCCAGGGTAAAGTTGCCGATGTACGTCAATAATTCATGACGTCAATTTCAGTTTCGTTTGCCGACTGACCCTTTATTTGCCGACTGAAAAGAATTATTGGGGGGGGGGTGCAACACCCCCCACTCGCTACGCCGCTGCATGTAGGTCGAAATTGAGATGGAGCTGTAACATTCAGAATTGCCACAAAAATAAGCAACAACCCCAAAATTCCAAAAATCAGGAGAAATTTTTTTGCCTTTTTGGCTCAGACTGAAATTTTTGGGGAAAAACATCACGATTATTGTCAGACTAAATCATGTTATCTGGTGATAAATGCACGAGAGATATACTCACGAGAACGTGAAGGTAATGGATGTTATTTACCCACAATCAAAAGCTGATCTCACCTCGGATTCTGAAGTTGGTATACCTAGGCCTAAATGAAAATGACACGGTCAGGACTGCGTCGTTCCGCGAAGGTCACTGAACATATCAGAACCAGCTACGTACCCTGACCATTACAACAGCCCAATGTGCAGTACATCGTGTTACCGCGGCGAACAAAACGAAGCCTGACCTGCACGTCACCGGGTGAAATTTCTGACGACGTTAGACTTGATCTAAGTCAGTCCACGATCTGAGGAAATCAAGACCAAGGTATTTTGCACAAATAATAATACCTATAACACACGATTCGGTAAAATGCTCTCAAGAAAATTATCAAGTCTATCCCACTTTGCACGTTAGAAGTTGTTGGAAAAGCAGCACGTTATTTTATTTCCGAGCAAAAATCACCTCAAAAGATTAATAAAAAGTACCTTCATCCTCATTTAGGAGCAAGAATAAGTTTACAAATGCTCACAAAGAGGTGATCTTGATCCAGGCTCTGCGCGTAATTACCCCTCGTACGGTAAGGAGGGATCGAGAGACTGGTGGCGACGGTTACTGGAATGTACATTCTAACCACTAATTCATTTTCTTCTGAGTGTATAACTTAAAACTTGAATACCTCCGTGATTCAATGTCAATCACAAAACCAAAGGAAAATTCTAACCTCGTCGAAGGTGTACATGACTATACATGCATTTACAAACAAGGACGGAGCAAAACTACGCAGAAACATAGGATTTTGAAGTTTGCATGACGATGCATAGCAAATGGAGTAAGTTTATTTCACATTTAACCTTTTTGCTGTTGAGGCGACGAGACCGAACCAAAGCTCGAACTGAAGGAAAGTGACTGAACGCAACCCAACCCTGACCACGTTTATACACGTATGTACATGTACATAACCCCGACTTGGCCAGCCTAAATGAATCCAACCAAGCCCAGCCCAACCCAACACCAGCAAACAAAGTCTTGCCTAAACCACACCGGAGTTTTCGTTGGAGATGTGGAGCGAGTGAACACCCCCCCAGGTCCGTGCCCCCCAGTTGAAGTGTACACACAAAATTAACACAAGCTGCAATTCATCATTGGCTTTCGATGTACCCAGTAAACTTGAAGACCAAGGCTATTTATTAGTTGCATTTCTTCAAAAATGTGAATATAAAATGTTTACTTTGGAAATAGCAAAATTCGGTTCTTTAACTTCTATTCTTTATCTGTTTTCTGTGCATTCTCTCAAATTCCTATTCTTTAGCAAAATGTTCATCCGAAAGGTTAAAATTTTTCAGTCACTTATGACAGACTCTTGGATACACAGTACTTTGGCACAAACATGAAATTACAACTTCATAGGCTTATTTCAATTATCATCTTAAACGGAGCCCCATTAAAAGTCATTCAACAACATTGCGATTAATATCGATGTGTACATGTATGTTATCCTTACCATTACAAAAAAACAACACATGTACAGATAGTAGAGATAAAAATGAGTTTGTTAATTTTGACTTTAAAAAGGCACCAAAAGGTATTTGAAATGGATTGAAATTTACACCCTTTCTGGTCAAAAAGACAGTTACATCTTGCTATTGTAATATTTACAAAATTGTATAACGTCAGGTGTGTATAGCCATAGATACCATAGATATTGGAATTGCAGGCCTTCGAGTGACAGTTTTCGGTAATCTTTTATTTCCACATGCCTTTTGCAAGTGTTCTGTGTTTTGTGCATAAGTGTAATTTGTTGCATGGTCTGGTCAAACGCTCTTATGATGATTAATTAACTTATGGCTGGCTCATAACTCTTTACATCAAGAATAATTTTTTTCTCCACAACGATATGAGCAGAGGACATAGCAGTCCCAAAATATCATATTCAGTTACAATATAACAAGTGAAAATTTCAAATGTGTACAAACATCACTATCATGTACAAATACATTCCACAAGTCTATACATATAAACTTTTCAACGAAACGATCCATATCCTTGTTTATATTCAATTATTATAGATTTCCTCTGAGTTTGTTACTAACCTGTCTACGTACAGGTTGTTTGCAAATACACAGAGTACGTACTTGCCGCTCACAATGGAAAGATGTCCATGGCAGCATCCCAGAGATCATGGCATATCAATTACAGAAAAGTGAAGGATACCTGATGATATGGGAACCTCAAAGACAGTGAGGCAATTGTGATCGCCAACACTTCAAACTTTGATCTACATGTAGATGTAGCTTTAACAAGGCCATCGCGAGATCCTGAGTGTGGTAGTGTTGAGGTGCAGCTATCATTAACCAGCCAAGATGTAAGGGAATATAAATTTATCATTAAGAATCTGAACTAATTTGAGATTGTGCATGCATACCGCATGTATATATTGCAAGTATGTTCCTAACCAAGAGGACATGAGTTTTGTGTCAACATGTATACACAGTGTGCAGCTGTAACAAGGGCAAGTACTTCTGTAGTAATTGGGGTGAACTGTTTAAAAACTGGAAATTTCTTTTATTGTAAATAAACCAACAAAGCCTTGGTTATAACCTATGGTTTCTGTCCCATGAGATGATGATCCTAACTGTAGTTGGGATGATGATCCA